CATAAGTAAATCATGAAATGGGGTTAAAAAATGACTTATCTGGCAAGAAATGACAGAAAATAGCTTGGCAGATTTTCCACATTTAACAGTTGAAGAACTGAGAGGATGAACCAAGTATATTTATCAATTAAAGTAAGCCCAGAGTTATACATTTTTACAAGCTGTTTATTGCCAAAGAATGCTCTGATATAATAAAAGTTTTAATTCAAAGCATGCATGCATTATCAAAAGTGTATATTTTAATGGATTCAATACAATCTAACTGCCATAGAGAGCTGATTCACCAATGAAAATTTGGAGTTTGCGTTGTGCGGTAATGTGCTCATTAGACCCGTATTATGGTTTCTTGCGTATAATATACATACTCAGCATCGCATTTTTAAATCACATTACCCATATTTCTTATTAGATGATGTTATTGGTTGGTCTGAACAAGAAAATGAATGACAAAGATGTAGTAATTATTAATTTTTTTTGTAATACTGAGTAGCATTAAAAAAGAAAGAAAGAGAAAAAAACCTAGATTTTTTTAATAATTTTTATCAACTAAAAATAAATAATACAGTACAAAGTCCGTAATCCAGACGTCCATTATCCGGAATGATCTATAATCCAGACCTCAAAGCCACAAACTTTATGCATGCACGTAAAGAATGCGCATACATTAAGCATGCGCACATTGAAAGAAATGTTTAATAAAGTACACAAATAAATATTAAGCTTCTTCTTTCTTTCTTTCTTTTTTTTTTTTTTTTTTGTAAAATTTGGTACCCTTTAGATCATAATTGCTCTTTATTTCATAAATTATGTCATCATATTTTTAATTGTATAGTTTCTGCATGCCATCTTACCGGATTTAAATTGATGATCTGTTATCCGGAAAAACTCCTAATCCAGAATCGCTGAAGTCCCAACGAGTCCGGATTACGAACTTTGCACTGTAGATGGATTATTTATATCTTATTTTCAATACATAATATTATTACAAATCAAATGACTCCTAGCTGATCAATATCATATCATGAGTATTTGAGCTATTTAAAGTCACATATTTAAAGTTGGCTTTGATCTAACTATAATGTTGGAAGGATTATAGGAATTAGAGATAATAGATTTTACAATTATGGACATTATTTCAGAAGATAGCAATTTGTTTTCAATACAATTTTAAAATTCAGAATGTATTTCAAACCAGATTTAAATCTCTAAAACGAATATTAGGCTGATTAAATTAGGCTGCCTAGTCACTTTAGGCATTATATTTTGGCACTTTCTGAAACAGTTTTATTAATAAGAAACATCCTAATTCATACTTTGTGTTTTGCACAATTCATTGTATAAAAACAATAAAAATAACACTGTTTTGCTATACTGCAAAAAAAAAAAAAAAAAAAAAAAAAAAAAAAATTCTTAATATTATTTAGAACAATTTTGTAATTGTAATGTAAAATAATACAGTACAAAGTCTTTAATCTGGAATGATCTATAATTCGGACCTCAAAGCTACAAACTTTATGCGCATTATTAAATGCATAATGCGCTTACACATGCGCATAATACATTTACGCATGTGCATAATACGTTTATGCATGCACATAATACGTTTACACATGCGCGTTTAATGTATAACAGATGGTATAAGCTAGGCTAAAATTATCTAATTATCTATTTCAGTTAATGTTGCAGATTGCCTTGTTCCTTAATCTTCTAATTGGATCAGGCTTATTATTTTTTGCAGACTGTTAGAGCAATTTTATAAAAAGTAAGCTTGAACTTTTGATTATGTCAAAAAGAGTTTCTGATTCTGGAGCTGCCAAAGGATCTACAAAGCGAAAGCATGTTTCGATGTACCGCTTCCGATAGTGAAGAAAGTGACAGAGAGGTTATTGAAAACGAAAAAATTTCGATTGGCAAGTTAGTCGGTATGTTGCTACTTTGGTAGACGGTTGCACGGATTTTTGGCGATTTAGTTTGGTGCAATCGTCAGCCATCTTGAAAAACGCTCTTTTTACACATAGTAAAGCATTCGAAACTTTAAAAAAATAAATATCATTAAAAAATAATGGATTAATTTTTGGTTGAAAACGTTTTTTTAAGATGGAAGGCAAATGTAAATAAATACATTTGGTTAATCTTTCGATTATGGTAACTTGGCGATTTTTTGGCAAAAATTTGGCGACCAACTCTGCTACAGCAACTCTATTTTTTTTTCGCCGCCATTTTGTCTCAACAAGTAAAGACATGTTTCTTTTTTTTTTTTATTTACTCAACACTTTTTCCAACAATCTGCTAGCCGAAATACACTTATGCTAGAAATTTTATGGAACAAAACTGCTTAATCATGACAAATATTAACTGCAAAATTAGGAAAAAGTGCAGAATTGCAAACTCCTTGCCGCGTTTTTCAGTATCGCACATACACATCGACTTATTTTTACTTAAAAAAAATCCCAGAATTGCACAAAAATGGCATTGCGCACACTCTTGACTTTATCCATCTACACAGCTATTTTCTCATAAATTAAAAAAATTTGCATGAAAATGCAGGAAAATTTTGTGAATCTTTAAATTCGGTAAAAAGGACATATATGAAATAACCTGATCGGGAAAAAGTATATACCCTTTCCAAGGATGAACATTTGCACGTATAAAATAAATAAAATATCCAAAAACTTTTCCCTCTAAATTATCTATTATAAACCTCACCTGCCAATTTATAACGCAAACATTAAAAATGGTTACAAATACTTAAATTCTTTCCATGCACAGTTACTTCTACTCAAACATATTCCAAAATACTACAAACATATAACTCTCAAAATGACAATCATTAAATTAAAATATAATTAAATTAAAAAACACTACTTAAAATATAAATAAGCACATACATTAAATTAATAAAATTAGCTTACAATCCTAATTATTTTAAACTAAATCATTGCTAATAACAATTTTCCAATAATACCATATTAATTTATTTACTCCTTACATTTAGAACAATGCATAAAAATAATATCCTCAAATAATTAAAAATACTAACTTACCTAATCTTCTACAGAATCTTGAGTGCATGGCTGATAACAAAATGTCCATTTTCACCAGATTTCTTGCACCGCCATTCAAACTTATCTGTAATATCCTTCCTTTCACACAATCTCATTTCATTCTCACATGTTGGACATTCATACTTATCCGCAATTAAGCAATTCTTTTCAATTACACATAAATGCAATAAAAATTTTGAATTTACTTTATATAGGGCCATGGAATCCAAATATTAAACAACACTGTTTCACAGAACATAGAATGAAATTAATACTATAAAGTACCGCAGATATTTTTACAAATTTATCCCCTTTTCCGATTAAAGAACAGTGATTCGTCCATTAATGTCACATGACATATCTCATGATCTCTCATTTCCCTCACACAAAATAATGCGTAATCGGAACTGAGTACTTCTCACATTATTCCCAAAGTCCTAGGTAGTAACCTTTATCGCCTCCAAAATGTCGCCAAACTACCTGTTACCATATTCCAAAGATTAGCCATACATTTACTATGAGTATAAAATACTAAAGTAAAGTTAAATTATTACTTTCATGTAGCAAAGAAATAGAATAAAAACACCGCTATAAAAACATTGCACCAACGTATTAAAATATTACGTAAATTGAATATCGAATTAAAAACCATCATACCAATGTTTAAAAGAATTAAAATATTACTTAAATTCATATACTTTAAAATAAGTAAATAAGAATGCTTCATACACTAAAGCTAAAATGACAACAATTAATTTATTGCCGGTCAAAAAGGAGGAATGTCTAATAATTTTTTTAACTTTACAGCGGTTATTTCTTCCACCGTGATCACAATACCATATACGGCCACCCAACGATCTTCATCTGTAATCCGCATTTCTCGCACTTCATTGAAGAAGCAATTAGCGAGGTTTCCTCCAGAAATTTAAATTAAATTTCCTCTGACCCTTGCAGCAATTTATAAATAAATCTTTGATTAGGAAAGCAAGGTTGGTAAGGTCTCAAAAGATAATTTTTTTATTTTGATACCAATAACTCTTGGTACTTACAAATAACAACATAAACCTTTGTAAGAGATATATCCGTTTCCTACGAAATCTAAGGAATTCGAAGAGATGAATAATAAAATTTTAAAATGGAGAGGTAATGCACAAATATTCTGTAACCAATCAGGGAGCTGATTACATCACAACTAGAATTAAAATTATTTAAATAATCATGCATAATAAAATCATTTTTCCAAAAAAAATGCAAAATTAAATTGTATTTTAATATTTAACAGTCATAAATAATGTTTAAAACATTAGATTAAATTTATAGATATTAAAACCAATTACTTTTAAAGCAAGGTGACATCATTGATTACATCATCCACAACATAAAATTATATAAAATATCATAAACAATAAATTTTTATTTTAAATATAAATACAAAATTAAACTGATTTGTAATATTTAGAAGTCATAAATAATATTTAAAACACGGAATTTATGCATAGTAAAATGACCACAAAGTATCGGTTACCATAAATTACTTATCCACCAATGGGTTTACAATAAGTCGTATCACTCACCAAAAAAAAAAAAAATTGCCAAAATCCGTGCAACCGTCGACCAAAGTAGCACCAGAGAAAGTATTAGCACAAAAAACGAAGCAACTTACATTGAAAGAAATGTTTAATAAAGTAAAATAAATATTAAGCTTTTTTTTTGTAAATTTTGATACCCTTTAGATAATAATTGTTCTTTATTTCATAAATTAGGGTTTCATATTTTTAATTTTATAATTTCTGCATGCTATCTTACCAGATTTAAATTGATGATCTATAAAACAGAAAAACCCCTAATCCGGAATTGCCGAAGTCCCGATAAGTCCGGATTAAAGACTTTGTACTGTATTGTAATAGTAGAAATAAATACAAGATTACATAAAAGTTATGAAATAAAATTACTCACATTTACTGAATTCTTCATCGGAGTTTTCCTCATCTTCAATAACAGAGCTACTGAAACAAGAAAAACAAAACAAAAATGTAACTATAAAAGTAACAAAAATTTTTACTTTCTTTATTTCTTTAATAACGCAATATACAGTGAATCATATATGTTTTTGAAACATTCTGTTTCCATCTTCATGCTTAGCAGTAGTTTTTTCAGGCTCAGTTCTTCATTTAGCGTTCACTTCTCAAATATTTATTCAGCGAATTCAAAATATATTAAATATGACTCACCTACAAATATAACATTACAATGTGATAATTCTTTGTTTACTATGGATTTACAAATGCCAGACATATTTTTAGAATTTTCTCATCGATGAAGAATTTTCTTTGTGATTGACCATTGCATCCATTAAAATTTATTTGCATAGATCTTATGCTAAATATCGAAATACAAACTCCACATTTTTTTTCCTAATATATTTTCTTTATTTTAACACTTGCTTGCTACAAAATAAAGGTTTAATCCTAGTATACGGTACACGTGGGATTTGGTGACTTATGACTACATTATGATGAGCAGTAAATGCGATATTTACGAGTTGTAAACGGGTCCTTTTGGTGTTGACGGCAATTTTCAGAATCAGGACAAGGCCGTACTGTATACTAGGATTTTACTCAAATTAAACACTATGAAAATGTTTTTTGCAATAAAATAATTTATTCCAAATGTGTTCATCAGTAACTTACATAATTAAACACTCGAGAGTATTTTGAGATGTTTCAGAAGACTATATTTGTTATAATTTTATTATGTGTGTTTTAAATTTTAAAAAAATTGACAAGACTTATTGTCTGTATTTGGAAATTATTATGGTTTAGTATAATATATTAACAGCTAAAGTGAATATAGCAAGATGATTAACCAAACATTCTCTTCAAAATTTAATTATTCTTGATTTTAAAGATGATAAAAGTACTCAAAAAATATCACTGATACAAAGCCTTCAACTATCTTGGGTGCATTAAAATGATGGAAGCTTTTCAAAACGTACTGAATTATGGATGCTATTCTAAGGTAACATGTAGGAATGGGAGATTTATTGTATGAAAAATCAAACAAAACACCAAAAATCTACTCTTGTAAAATAAAACTTGTAGCACATTTAGATGAATGGGTTGGAATAAATTAATGTTAAACCATAAACTATTATATGCTTTAATCCTACTTAGGATTAAACCATAAACTACTTGTTCTTGTTCAAAAAGTCTGAATACTTATGCGAGTTCATTTTCATAAACTAACTAACTGAACTGAATAAACTACTTTTTGACCAAAAATTTTAATAGTATACGTGAAAGAAAAACAGTCATTTCGCTTATATTAGTAAATGAGATTTGAAAATAAAACTGAAAACACAAGTGTCCAAAGCACTGTATACACCTAATCTGAAATTACTACATAAAAATAATAGGAAAAGAACTTAATCTTAAATGAATAAATAGTGTCTAGCAACAAAAAATTAAGTTTCATGCTTTTAAAAAAACTGGAAATAATCATAAATAATAAATATACTCCATATCTGATTTCAAAATTCCCTCCTGCGTCATTCGAACTGATTGACGAATGCTGTCCCCTTAAAGGGTGTTTTCCTTTTGTTGCCAATTCTTAAATTCGATTTATATGTTAATTTTTCTCATAAATATATGGTAAAAAATAAGCCGTATTTAAAAATTATATTAAAAAAATTTATAAATCAGCATGTTAATTTTGTTGGGATATTATTTAAACAATTCAGTTTATGAGAGTTGTAAGGCGTGATTGAAGTAATGTGAAGTAATGTTGTCGCGGGAAAAGTAACCGTTGAAGTTTGTTTACAAACATGAGCTGAAAGCTAGGCTTTAAGTTATGATTTGATTGGTAATAGATGTAACTGTAATCCTTATATTTTTATCATCTCAAGCATATCCAATCTCTGTTTTTTAATAAGAGTGTATTTAAATTATGAATAATTTTCACTATGGGAGAAAGGACATTCACGAAATATTTTTGCGTATAGTTATTATTTATGTGATATTTACCCAGAATATATTTAGAGATTCTTAAAATATAATGGTACACTGTCAAAATGCAAAAATTTGTATTCTCTGATATTGTTTGCTCGATGTGGAAACACACTGAGACATTATGATTTTGCAAATATAGTTGAACACTTTTTATTTTGTATTTTCTGTAAGAGTTTGACGGATAATCGAAGATTATTTATGTTTTATATATGGATATTTGAGCCTAAGCATAATAATAAGTTTTCTAATCAGTTTAAGCAATGTAATGCATGTAAATAGTAATTCCATGAACACAAGTCTCGATTAAACATCTTTTATATGTTCATTTAACAAAAAATAAACTAAATATGAATACATTGAACCAAAATCGCGAAATACAGTTTTGCAATATGGAAAGGGTCTGAAGCAAAAAGCATATGGAAATAGTAAAAATAGTATGAAGAAAACAAAAAATGTAACAAAATTACACTTATTTTTATTTCTTTTGTATAGTTTCATACTTAAATGCCTTTTCCCTGCAAGCTTTGAGATTGTATCTTCATATGCTTGCATTCCTGAATATAAGTTAACTTTATGATTTTGCATTTTATGTTATGAAATAAGATGAAGTTTCTTGAAAGAATGCTACTCGGTTTTCGTCGCTTCTTGATAAACTAAAAATTGGTACATATTTTGTAAAATCCTCAGATTCCATCTGTGTAGTAATGATGAAGTATGTTATGAATCTTTATGAGGGGAAGGTTGTTATGATCTTCAAGTGTCTATTTTAAAATAACAGATTAATTAGTGTTGATTATCATTTCAGAATAAATTTTGTGATTAATCATGGAGGTGAGATTTTTTTTGCCCTAAGTAGCTACTGTAACATAAAAGTAACCAAAATTTCCTTATATTTTTTTATATATTATTAGCTTTTAAAACGTAGTTTAATTTTTCTGGGGAAGATTTGAACTATTTTTTCTCCTGTTTGGTGAAGGCCATTCTATTTTTCTTATCTTATATTTCTAGTTTCATTGTCTTGAATGAATATTTTTTTTCCCAAAGTTTTATTTCAGTGTCTGTTCTAATATTGCTATTGTCAATGAAGAAAGTGACTGAGACGTTGGTGAAAAAATTTCAGTTGACAATTTTGGGAATTTTCAACACAGCAATTACAGGAATTAACAGTGGAACTTTGTAGCTGAGCAAATTTTATCTTTCAGTAGAATTTAAGAGAAAGTATTGGCATAAAAAATGAAGCAACTTATGTAAATTACATTGAAAGCAACGTTCATTAAAACAAACAGTACTTATGTATTAATGCCTTAGTAGAAGTTGCCAAATTTTCTGAATGAGCCAAGCTCTGGCAACCATGCTCGTAACAGTCTTTTAGTCAAGCAGGGCCACCAAGTATGCATTCTTTTTTCTTGTATTCCAAATTCCAGCAGTTTTTATGAAAAAATAGTAATATTTTTTTGCCTTAGTTTTAAATTATAAGCTTGTGGAATTTGCCAGTAATGAAGAAACTGCAGTAAAATTTCTGGAGGAATACAGAATTTTGCTGAAAATTTTCTAAAAGAAGTGATGAGGTGTTGTATTTCCTAGATAATTCCTGTTGCCAAGAGTTGCACAAAATCTAGTCTGCACAATTTTGTGATTTTTTTTAAGCAAAAATAGATTGTTGTGTACTTCAGAAAAATAATAGCACAAAAAAATTACAGAAAGATTTGAAAAAGGATGTGTTTTATTTTATTAATGTATCACACGATCCTTCTTTAATAATTCAAATTTTTATTTTAAATTGATAAAGCATGTTTTGTTTGATATGCTGATAATGTTTACTGCTTTATGATAAATCCCTTGGTAACATTATATTTAATGGTGCCTTTTGTTAAAAATTGGCCTTGCTGGACAGTCGCAAAAAATCATGTCTACACAAACCCAAAATAAAAAGTCAAAGAATTGCACAAACTCGGTGTCCATGTACACATCGATCTATTTTCACTTAAAAATTGAAAGAGCACCCAATTCTACACTGCAGCCAAACAAAAAATATATAATCTCAATAAACTGCATTTTAAAATAAACAGTGAAATAACATAAAAAAGGAAATGCGTCTATGCATTACATAAAGGAAATATCCACTTACCCTATTTAGAAATTTCTGTGTCTTCAGTGGCACACAAAATTCCTTAATAGCATCTAAACACTTTCCTTAAACTATGTTCCCTTTCTAATAGAATGCTTTATGTGATGAGCATTTCAACCTTTCTTGCGACAAACCCACTCAAATCCATCTGAACGATCTTTACGTTCGACCATATGCATTTCCTCTGTACAAACACACTTATAATTCCATTGAATTACCTCCAATAAAGTTTCTTTTCTTCTATCCTCAACCACTTCAAAAGAAAAAAAACCTTTCCACTCTCTCATTCTATACCACCAAACATCCAGTTTACCACCGGCTGCCATTTTATGATGCAAAGCCTACAATATGCAATGTACTTCGTAACTGATATCCAATGCAGAAAGAAGACCTTACAAATATTTTTCCATCTGGCCAAATTCACCACAATCATGCAACCAATGACGTCATAATAAGGTTTCCATAACATTCAACAAGTACTATAAATGGAACAACAATTTAATGGTAATCCAAGGGGCACCCTAAAATATAGGCTAACCATTGCGTTTAGTTTCGGAATCTTTCTGAAAAAAGGAACAAAAACCACCAACTTGCACCCATATAAGTAATTTTTACAAGGTGGTTGCTTTCATAAATAAGTATCAAACAAATATTATTATATATATATATATATATTATATGTACTGTCAAAAGTCGTTAGTCCGGACTCGTCGGAACTTCGGCGATTCCAGATTATAGATCATCAGTTTAAATCTCGTAGGATGGCATGCAGAAAAATTATAAATTAAAAATATGAAACCGTAATTTTTTAAATAAAGAACAATTATGATCTAAAGGGTATCAAAATTTATAAAAAAAAAAAAAAAAAAAAAAAAAAAAAAGAAGCTTAATATTTATTTGTTTTATGTGATAATATTTTCTCTTTAATTCCATAAAGACATAATTTCTTGTTCAGTTACAAAATTCCGCTGTTCAAGTCCTATAATTGCTGTGACCAGAATACCGACTAATTTGTCAATCGAAATTTTTTCATTATCAATAACCTCCGTGTCACTTTCTTCACTATCAGAAGCGAATTATAATGACGAGGAATTTGATTTAAATCATATCAAAGAGAGTACATCGAGATGAAATACTACATTTAGTAAGGAATTATAAGCCAAATAAAATAAAAACGTCTGCCCTGAAGATAAGGATAGTGCTGACAGATCAACTTCCAATTCATTGCGCACTGCGGTGTTCCCCCCCCCCCCCTCAGCTGCTGAGCAGTGTGAGATTGATAAACAGATTTCGGAATGGTTAGAGAAACAAAGGATATGCCTTTACCCATTTTTTGCAGCAATTCCACTTATTGTTTGATGGACATCGAAACATGCTTTCGCTTTGCAGATCCTTTGGCAGCTCCAGAAACGGAAATTCTTTTTGACATAATCAAAAGTTCAAGCTTACTTTTTATAAAATTGCTCTAACAGTCTGCAAAAAATAATAAGCCGGATCCAATAAGAAGATTAAGGAACAACGCAATCTGCAACATTAACTGAAATAGATAATTGAATCATTTTAACCTATACCCTCCGTTATACATTAAATGCGCATGCGTAACCTTATTATGCGCATGCACACATGCATATGTGCAGCTGTAAAGGTCTTACCTGCATGCGCAAATGCCTATGTGCATGCATCAAAGCAACACATGAGCAGAAAGTTTGTAGCTTTTAAGTCCGGATTATAGATCATTCCAGATTATGGGTGTCCGAATTAACGACGTTTGACTGCATATATATAAATTTTGAGTCTCTTAAGGTCATAAAGGTTTCATTATTTCATAAACCACTATTTCATATTTTTAATTTTATGATTTCTACATGTCACCTTACTTGATTTAAACAGATGATCTTAAATCGAGAAACATTCAAAATTGCTGAAGTCCCAATGAGTCTAAATCTTGGATTTTGTGTCATATATCCTGAGTCACATATTTAAAGTAATGTACTTTAACCATTATCTCAGGAGAATTTTAAATTATTTTGCAAGTGGATTTTTTTGTATTGATATTTGAAAAAGATAAAGGCAGAAAAATGTTTTCTTTCAGATCTCAGTATTTTGTCAGATTATTTATTATTTTATTCAATTATCAATGTATATTTATGGTACTTACCGTTTATCTGAATCAAGAACTATTATAGACAACAAAATTAATAATAACCTGCCAATAAATGTTTGTCTACCTGCTATAACCATAGCCTTACCTTATTATACATACCACAAGATAAATAATTTATTTCTGCCTTTTCAGCAGTACAGTAGATAAGATATCAAAAGAGGTTGAGTTTGACCTCCAGTATAACAAGCAAATACATCCTTGCATGATTTAACTGTCTTTTTTTTAGTATATTCTGAAGCCATATTACAGATGATAGCTAGGTGGTATATACTGGAGGAAGAGGAGAGACCAGTCATTATGTTACATTAGTTACTTCTTTTGCCACAGTTGCTGTATAATAAGTAATTAATGTGGAAATCACTGCCAAAGTTATTTTGGTATCTACAATAACTTTCAATATGAGGTAACCCACTACTAGTACCATTACCTGGTACAAAATCAAAGTTCCACAAATTTAAAATAAATATAATGTGTATGTTTAGAAGTTTCATTAAGAATTGTATATTATTATGCTAAATTGTTTTGCAGTATAAATATTGATTGTAATATCTCCATATATGTATATTTCAGATTAAAATACTATTATCTTGAAAGATGATTGACCCTTGGATAACTGATGAGCCTTATTGCTGTGATATAAGTATTCCTGAATGTAACATTAACAATGAGTATGTGACTTTGTTTTATTTTCTTCAAATTTGGATTTGTCAATTAATTGACACTTTCTTTGTTTTATTTTCTTCGAATTTGGATTTATCAATTAATTGACACTTTCTGATTATCTGCACCCCTCCCCCCCCGGAATGGCTGCAAAAATGTTTTGTTTCGGAAACCTGCCATGTCACCAAAAAATATGTAACAACTATGTTGTTGCCTAAAAGTATTTATGTGGCAATGCAAATATGTGCATAGCATCCTCCCAAACAGTTTTAGACTTCATGGATAATCAGAAAGTACCTTAATTTTGATAGATGTATATTAAACTTTTGTTGGCCTACAATAAAAAATTATTTATATTATGCCAAAAATCATGTAATAATTAAGATACAATAACACGCCAAACAAATATTAATTTAGAAGACAAACAACAAAAACCAGCATTATCTTTTCAAATTTCACAGGACTAGTTTTGATGGTTTTACCAAACCATCATCCTCAGCTGCAAAAGTGCAAATGAATGAGATAAGATATAATATAATGATCAGAAAGCCTGGACATGAGATAAGCTACTGTCGCCATCTGTTGATGAAACGAGAACTAAAACATAATTTCTTTAAAGGCTGAAGGCAAACATGGATTGGAATTAGGGTCGTTAACTAGAACAGAAAGATTTTTTTGAATGTGAAATGCCTCTAGAAAATCCAGCTCCCCAATGGAAGATTTTTTTAAATAATTTTGGCAACAGAAATATTGAAAGTGTGATTTTCAGACCAATAATGTTGGGCAACAGAAGACTTCTGTGTTTCCTTTTTTCTAACATATGCCTCATGTTCCTTAGTGCAAAATTTTAAAGTTCTCTTAGTTTGCCCATTGTAAATTAAACCACACTCGCAAAGAATCTTTTAAATACCCTAGGAATTCATATCCAAACTGGGGTCCTTGAGTATGGAACTCGGAATTTTATTGATGGGAGAATAAACACCCGAAAGTTAAATTTCTGCAAAATATGTGCAACTTTATAGCTAATTGATGGAAAGAAGGGAATGACAACAGAATTTTTATAATCTCCTAAAATAAGAGTGTGCCTTTTGGTGTGTTGAGATGAGAATTTTTTAACTGCTTGATTAATAATGTTGGGTGAAAAGCCCCTGTCAATAGCTATTGCTTTTAAATAATTTAGTTCTTCATCAAGGGCTAGTTTGGAGGAGCAAACTTGAAGAGCACGGAAAACATAGGAATAAAATGAAGCTAACTTTTGTTTAGTCGGATGACATGATTTAAAGTGTGGTGGAAGGCAAACCGATGAAGGTTTACGGTAAAACTGTAGTACTGAAGTGGATGTGTACCAGAATGTCGAGAAATGGGAGAGAATTGCAAGTCTCAAGTTCAAAAATGAACTGAGTAGCAGGATCAATGGAATTCATTGTTGAAAGAACTTTATTTAAATCATCTTTATTATCTTCAAACAGGGTAAAAGTATCGTCTACATAGCGGAACAATACCAGGATGTTTAAAGTTTCTAACAATTTTGATTCAAAATGATGCATGTAGATATCAGCTAGGATGGGACTGAGTGGGGTACTTCCCATGGCTAATCCCTCAGGAGTGAGAGAAATTAGCTCATCAATAAGTCTGGTTTCTAGACATCTAAATGCACCCTCCACTGAAACATTGGTGAAAAATGATTTTACATCACAAGGAACCACAAGTAAATTTCTAGGAGAAATGTTTTTAACCTTTTTTACAAAAACTCTATTGAATTTTTTATGGTATAAAAGTTATTGTATAATAGAGTTTAAACTCTAGAAACTAAATATTTAGCTAACGGATACAAGGCAGTACCTAAATTTGATACAATAGGGCAGAAAGGAATACCACTTTTATGAATTTTGGGAAGTGCATATAATCTGGCACAACTCACAACAGACGGGATAAGCGAATGTTTTAAGTTGCTTGAAAGAATTTCTGAAGATTTGATCGCAGTTTTTATTTTTGACAGGTCCGAAGGTGAAGGATCTTTGGAGATTGGATTATATGGTCCTTCGTTTAAGAGTTTAGTGACACCATCGATGTAAGGGTTCTTATTCATGACGACTACCTGGCCACCTTTGTTGGCCTTTGAAATGATAATATCCGGGTTAGAATGAATTTCGCACTTAAAAATTACAGAAAAGTACTTACTGAAACTCATGCAATCACAAAATGGCAATTTTTAAGTTTTATTTGTGTTTACATATTTGAAAATCGTGCTTTGCTTATCTGATTTCATGCATTTTAGTTGCAAATATTTTGTTTTCTATTCATTTCAGTGTGAAATTTTTCTGCTGTTTTTTTATTGGTTGGTTAATTTAGTTTGATTTTCTGTATTGTTTATCATGCCTTCATCCATTAATGGTTTCACTAAATTACGTCTGAAACGACAAAAATTCCTGAATCGCTTGACTTTTTACTTAAGTGTAAATGTAAAAAATTGATCCCCAATATCATTCAAATCAAATCTAATCAAAAAGCTTCCAGTCGCGTTTCAAGAATTCTGTTAAACTGTAAGATAGCCTTACTTCAGTTCATCATAAGGGATACACATCAAGGGTTGTCCAAAATTGAACATGAGCTCTATAATCTTCATTTGGAACTCGCTAATTCATATCCAAAATTCATTGCCCTTGAACAAAAGTCTTGGTCTAGAATGGAAAATGCAGTTAACCATCATAAAAACACCCTTGCTGTTAAATTCAAAAAACTTCTTTTACAGTCTTAAAGTTCAAGTAGTTCAAAAAATCTTCCCATTATAAACATTAAGCCAACAGTTAATATTTCTAATGTTAGTTTATCAGAAGAACAAGAGAGAATTCTAAAATATAATTTTAACTTCTCATAAACCTCTAAAACTACGATTCCAAAGATATTGACTCCTATCGAAAAACTTTCAAGTTTCAGATTCACAAAAAGAAATTATTAGGCACCTTATCGCTCATAATGTGAAATTCAATAATAAACCTCTGAAACCAAATCTAACCGCAAGAAAAAGAGCTACAACGTATGAAATTCATTCTAACCTGGATATTATCATTCCAAAGGCCGTCAAAGTTGGCCAGATAGTTGTCATGGATAAGACCACTTACATCGATGATCTCACTAAACTCTTAACCGAAGGACCATATAATCCGATCCCTAAAGATCCTTCACCTTTCCATTATGAGCAAATTTCACATTATGAGTGATAAGGTGCCTAATCATTTCTTTGTGTGAATCTGAAACTTTACTGAACTTGAAAGCTTTTTCGATAGGAGCCAAAATGTTTGGAATAGTGGGTTTAGAGGTTTGTGAGAAGTTAAAATTATATTTTAGAATTCTCTCTTGTTCTTCTGATAAACTAACATTAGAAATATTAACTGTTGGCTTAATGTTTATTATGGGAAGACTTTTTGAATTACTTGAACAAGACTGTAAAAGAAGTTTTTTGAATTTAACTGCAAGGGTGTTTTTATGACGGTTAACTGCATTTTCCATTCTAGACCAAGACTTTTATTGATGGGAGAATGTTCAAGGGCAATGAATTTTGGATATGAATTAGTGAGTTTCAGATGAAGCTTATAGAGCTCATGTTCAATTTTGGACAACCGTTGATGTGTATCCCTTATGATGGACCGAAGTAAGGCTAGCTTACAGTTTAACAGAATTCTTCAAACGCGACTGGAAGGTTTTTGATTAGATTTGATTTGAATGATATTGGAGATCAATTTTTTACATTTAAACTTAAGTAAAAAGTCAAGATGATTCAGGATTTTTTGTCGTTTCAGACATAATTTAGTGAAACGATTAATGGATGAAGGCTTGATAAACAATACAGAAAATCAAACTAAATTAACTAACCAATAATAAACAGCAGAAAAATTTCACACTGAAATGAATAGAAAACAAAATATTTGCAACTAAAATGCATGAAATCAGATAAGCAAAGCACAATATTCAAATATGTAAAACACAAATAGAACTTAAAAATTGTCATTTTGTGATTGCATGAGTTTCAGTAAGTACTTTTTTGCAATTTTTAAGTGCAAAATTCATTCTGACCCAGATATTATCATTTCAAAGGCCGACAAAGGTGGCCAGGTAGTCGTCATGGATGAGAACCCTTACATCGATGGTGTCACTAAACTCTTAAACGAAGGACCATATAATCCAATCCCTAAAGATCCTTCACCTTCGGACCTGTCAAAAATAAAAACTGTGATCAAATCTTCACAAATTCTTTCAAGCAGCTTAAAACATTCGCTTATCCCGTCTGTTGTGAGTTGTGCCAGAATATATGGTCTTCCCAAAATTCATAAAAGTGGTATTCCTTTCTGCCCTATTCTGTCAAATTTAGGTAATGCCTTGTATCCGTTAGCTAAATATTTAGTTTCTAGAGTTTCATCTCTACTGTACAATAACATTTACACCATAAAATATTCAATAGAGTTTGTAAAAAAGGTTAAAAACATTTCTTCTAGAAATTTACTCGTGTTTTTTTTTTTTTTTTTTTTTTTTTTTTTTTTTTTTTGTTTGATATAAAATCATTATTCACCAATGTTCCAGTAGAGGATGCATTAAGATGTCTAGAAACCAGACTTCGCGAATTTCATTTCTCTTGCATCGAAATTGATGAGGTAATTTCTCTTACTCAACTCTGTTTGAAACAAACGCATTTTGTTTTCCAAAATGAATATTACAAGCAAACTGAGGGATTAGCCCCCTCAGTCCCATCCTGGCTGATATCTACATGTATTATTTTGAATCAATATTGTTTGAAACTTTAAAGTTCCTGGTATAGTTCCACTACGTAGATGATACTTTTACCCTGTTTGTAGGTAATAAGGATGATTTAAATAAAGTTCTTTCAACAAAGTTCTTCCGTTTCTCGACATTCTGGTCGCACGTAACACATCCAACTTCAGTGCTACAGTTTACTGTAAACCTTCTTCGGTTTGCCTTCCACCACACTTCAAATCATGTTATTCCACTAAACAAAAGTTAGCATAAACAAAAGTTATGTATATTAAAAATTTTGATAGTATTTCAAAATTTTTTATTTTAAATCAAAATTTCCATTACATTACTGAAAATCAATCATAGACAGGAAATAAGTAATCTAGAACCAAATATATAGGCATATACTATATGTATTTGGTTCATCAAAAAATAACATTCTAATTATTCAGATACACTAAGGACCTAATTAATTTAGATATTTGTAGTTCTACTGTACTTTCATTTACAAAGTTTCTCAAAACAACAAGTTGAACTTTATGAAAACAATCTTGATTCTATGAATGGAAAAGGCTGTATAAATCCTCTTCACTCATCTAAACTTTTATAAGACTTTGAAGTGTAGATCTTGTAATTAGTAGTTTTCATTATCCTTTAGTCAATAAAAAAAAAAAAAATGTTCTATATATTATTTATAAAATTCATTAAGATATGATAGTCAACATTTTTATGAAAACTGAATTACCAACTGCAGTGATTGTTATTCAAACTGAAATTAGTAAATGTTAAAACAAGCTGCTTTTGTTTTATTGCTGTGCCCTAAATTTGTTTTCAGAAGTCTTGACTTAATTGGATTTTTTTATTTAGGCAAAACACATTAAGGCTGTTTACTCAAGTTGCATCTCAGTGTCAATAAATGGGAATGCAAAAGATGGAATCAGATGATTTCATATTTCTCTTTCTGTGTCATTAACCTCTCAAAGAGATGAATTTATTCTGATCATAAATATGCATTAAAATGAATAACATTTGTGAAATTGCATCTGTCTTAACTTCAGCCTATAAAGATTTTAATTTTTTTGACTGATTAATTAATATTTTATTACTTAGAATTTTTTGTTTTATAATCAGAGTGAAATTTTTGGTGATAACCACTATCCTAAGATGATTGCTTCTGTAAGTGATCAATATTTCCAAGAACATAATTACGTGATGTTGAACTTTATAGATAATTATGATCTGTATGGTATAAACCTATAAGAAGATGTAAACTATCAGGGATAGTAGGTTATCACCTTAGGAGAATCTAACTATATATGTTTAAAATCAATATTTGAAGAAGTAAAGCTTATAGCAGTCTTTTTTTTTTTTTTTTAATACACTTTAAGACATTCTAAATTATTGTTTTTATATGCTATACATTATCAGTTTTTTGTGTAAACGTGGACCATTGTAGTTTATATGGTGATTATTGCAGCTGATAAAATTTCTGAAACAGCCATATTTACAATGACTTCTATAAAGAAAATTCAGTTGTAATTGAATGATAACATATTACAAATGGAATTTTGCTTATTGGCATTAATTTATGACTTGTTGAAATATTCTTCAAAAATTTTCAACTTATTCATTCTACATTCAAAATAGATATTCATACATAGATTTTAAAATGTAGACTTGACTTGTATATTTTTAGTGATCCATTTGAAGTCATTCGCTTGAGGAGGCTTCTTGAAAACAGTATTTTGAAAGTAGAAAAAGAAAATCTGGTACAATTTTTTGTTTTAAGAAATATTAAATCATATTAAATTTTACTGTTGTTTGTGTCATTTTATTACATGTGTGTGTATCTAGTTACTCTAATTAAATTACATAATTTTATTTGAAATATATGATAAAGCAAATAATTTTTCACACAGATGAAATTTATGAAAAATAAGTATTAACTTCTGTTGATAAAAATCTATGGCTGTAGATGATTTACTGAAAGATTTAGGTCTTATGTGGAGGTAGTATTTATTAAAGAGGTTTATTTATGTTCATTTACATTTCAAAATATACTGCTCACTTTCAGATTTGATTGCTTCTAAGCAGCCCACTGTAATGTCTGCTTTCCTGGGTATTGATAGAGTTGGTATTAGTAGAAGTCACAAAACTTACAGAATGTGCCAAACTGGCTACCATGCACGTAATAATTATTCAGGCAATCTTGAGCAAAGCAATTCTAGTGCTTACATATTAGCATAGCCACCTTGGCTCAAGCTGGAGGTTTTTTACAGAAGAAAATGAATGATGTATTATAATTATAAATAAATATTTATTACATACATATTTTGTAGTTTAATTATGTATTTATACTGAAAATTGGTCAATAAGCTTACTTATAAGCAAATATTTGTTTCTTTTATTCTGGTTGAAAATTCATGATAATCTTTATATGAAAGGATGAAAAGCAATTGCTTCCTTTATATGAGCTGGTGGCTAAATACTGTATTCCTACAGGAATTTTGAAGTAGTTTCTTTCGCTACAGGTTAATCTGGAAAATATATATTTTAAAACTGAGTTTAAGACAAGATATGTCACAATTTTCCATAAAAGCCGTGTGAAAAAGAGTGTATATGAAAATAGTAACGTTGCTTCCTAAAACTAAAGAGCTTTTATGAGAATGGTTGCCAGGGTTGGCGCATTTTGAAATTAAAATGTAAAATATGTATATAGTAAGTATTTTTTTTTTTTTTTTTCTTTTCTTTTTTACTATTATTTATTTTGTGTGTATATTTAAGACACAATAACACGCTGAACAAATACTAATTCAGAAGTCAAACAAAAAAAATCAGCTTTATATTTTCAAATTTTCACAGGACTAGTTTTGATGGTTTTACCGAACCACCATCCTCAGCTGCAAAAGTGCAAATGGTGGTTTGGTAAGACCATAGAAACTAGTCCTGTGAAAATTTCAAAATATAACACTGATTTTTGTTGTTTTACTTCTGAATTGTGTGTGTATGTTTAAGATAACTGCCAGCCTGGTTGCCCTAATATGTAAGTGCCAAAAAAAGTAACCTTAGTATATTTCTTGCTAAAAATGGTGGATACTTTTTATTCCATTGATGATGAAAGTTGACTGCCATCGAACTATAAAAGTTGGTGGAGATCTCACCAAACATGCATTACTTGTTCCTGCAGAATTCCGGAGGAACTGACACCTCTTAATTTAACAATTAATCACTATTCATTGTACTTCATTTTTGTGCTTTATGAAAAGGCTTTTATTGATTTCTGTACATTGTTAAGCCCTCCAATTTCATTGGAAACACACTTTAGAATGCCTGCAAGTACAAACTTCCCACAAGTTATTGTTTCAATCTATTACTGTTTTAGGTGATCATATTCAGCTGACCATATTGCATTCATTAATATGCACATTTTTTGATTGAATCCCTATAACTTTGGAAACAATCCACTGCTTACTATTTTGCAAGAATTTAGGTCCAAAATTTTAATTATTTTTTCCAAAATAAAAGGGAAAAAATTATAGTAATAATAATTAATTTATATCCTTGTTCATAAAAACAAAAGGTGACATATTGAGAATCAATTGGGGTGATATCAAATGAAAGCATAGATGTTATGAGTTTGTTGTATGTCACTTTTATCTATAATTAGCACTAAATTGTGCTGTTTTGCTACAGTTTACGGTACTTTTCCGTTTCGCCGTCACAAATCTCGCCAAGCAAACTTTATTGGCGACAACATACAGTATACACATAAAGAAATGTTAGTTCTAAGGTTAATTTTGAAGGCATAAACATTTTAATATCGTTTAAAATTTTGTAAAAAGCCAATAAATAAAAACAATAAATTTGTAAAAAGACATTAATTTAAGAATTTACTATGCTTTCATGGTTCAACATCCTGATTCGCCGGTTCATATCATGTGATCCCAAATGATCTCATTTCATGCAAACTAGGCTACAAAAATATAATTCTCTCAGTAATTATCTACATTAATTTCAAGTTAAATCTTGATTTGGAATGCAAGAATTATTTCAATTCGTACGAATAGCTTACTCATAAATTATGTAAAACCACAGTGTTTTACTCATTAGAATTAATGAATTTAATCCTTGACTTTGCCTTTTCTATATTTTTGCCTTCGAGTGAGCAGTGTGATTGCATCCTAATTGACTTAATTACTGCAAATGGCCTTAGGGCACAAAATTGAACTATCTGGTAAAAATTCTGTCTAATTGTATGCAGTATTGAAACTGTCAATTTGATAAGAAATGGCTGCGACTTATTTTGAAAATGAAGCGTAAATGTTACCAGCAAGGATATTCTGTTTGGCATCAGTTGTACCATTATTGGCGACTTTATCGCCTGTGCCGGCAAAGCGGAAAAGTACCCAGTTTACAATTGATACATGAGTACCAAATAGTGTTCTGGGAGATAAATATTTTTTTGAACAAATCTTTTTATCTTTAATAGTTTTTGAACAGATAACTTCAGATCCTTCATTTATTGATGCGTGTGTCAATTAAAATTTGCTTTGTTCTGAAAATTGACCTTGAAATATTAAAGATTTGAATGAATTAAAAAGAAATTTTACAATGCATTTTAAATAAATTTTTAGCCCAAAGGAACATTAGCCCAGAAGGACTATTAGTCTCACAATGGCAGTTTTCATCAGTTCATCATAAACTTGCATATTACTTTTTAAATTGTTGCCACCAAATATCATCACCCTGTATTAAATTTAATGAAATTAAATAATGAAGAATTTGCTTGAATGTATGTATTTTTGTCGCATTGTGAAAAAACGACAGTTCCTAGAGCTATCAAGTTTTAGAAAATGTAATCCTCCACTTTAATATAGGTACTTGGAAGCTGAATTTTGAATTTATTTTAGTATCTATTGCATATTTTGCAAAACTTTGATAAATTTTTGATTAACAAACTCAACAATTTCAGAGCGAGCAGTGGCAACACTGTATAGGGGGGAAAAAAAGAAAAAAGAAAAAAAAAAAAAAAAAGCAGTTTGCAAGATTGTCTTATTGGAAATTCTAAAGATGTGCTTTTTTAAATTGTGATGGTGCTGTTGAAATTGAATTTTATGTGATTTAAATGCAAAAAACATGATATTTAATAAATAAAAGTAACACACAAAATATAAAAAAAAGTGCTTCCTTTAGGCATAACATAAAATCTGAAAGCTTTTTTTTTTTTGCACATTTGTAGTACACAAATTGTCCCCACCCCCCAAAAAATGCTCCTTTAAGCGTAATATAATTTTTTTTAAATACATACATATATAGTATATATATATATATATATTGTTTTGTGTAAATGTATGTGTGTCAGTTATTGAAATAGGAAATTTAAACTTTGTTTATTTTATGTTTGTGTCTTAAAATGTAACATTATTGGTTTCACAAGTTACCATCAAAAACTCACTATGAGATATATCTTATCGCTATGAGACTATCACTATAAAACTTCACTTTGAGACTTATATCTAGATATATATCTATCTAAATTAACTATGAGATATAACAACACTGGTGTTATTCATATAAATTTAACTCTCCTTTGCTTTTAACATAAACATTATATTAACTTTATATTAAAGTTATAAATTATTGCTTAGAAGTTTGAGAATATTATCAGTGACAAATTCAGTAAATATTAATAGTATTTTCAGTCACACATATTCCTTATGGGCCTTTTTCTCATCTTTGTCCTTCCACTGTATTTCTGAGATAGCTTTGTAGGATACTGCTTGCACAGAAACTTAAATCAATGTGTTTCAAACCCTACTAGACTGAGAAACTAGTTATCACTCTAGTCTGAATTAAGATGACATACTCTTATGAAGATTAAAATAACCTTTTTATTAAACTCTTTAAATTAACAGAAGGCAAAAATTAAGGCACTACTTGTGCTACAGATGAACCTCTGATACTTACAGGTATTTAAAATAATGTAAGGTGAAGTTATTTAAATCTAGGTCTGAGACTATACACAAAATAAACTTCTTAAGATGGCTCAAGTTAAATAATGACCACATATTTTAAATGCTTGCTGGCAAGATGGGTAAAGCTGGAATAAAACTTAAAAGCAAAGCTGGTGATAGTACATAATTGCAATGTGAGGCTGCCAGAAGTTCTAAAAACATTCAAACCCTTGGCTTAGATACACAGCAACTAATTTGCATTCTGTTGAGGACTATTGAAAGAAGTTCATAGCATAAGATGTAAAGGTTCATATCATAATAACTGGTTAATTAACATAAAATCGTACAATTTAAAATATTGACTCATTGACCAAAACTTGTTGTTGTCTCTATTAGTTGTTTCAAATTTTAAAACTGATGTATATGAATTTAATATTATATAATGTAATTCTAAAGTTGTACAAATGTAAGTATAATGGGAACTTTTCTGTTAATGGCACACAACTTAACATCAAGCTTGAATGTTTGTGTGAAAACTAAATAGATGGCAGCAACTTTAACACTATGTAAAACTTCATGAAAATCAGAACTTGTGATAACAGTAATGTATCATATAATGTGAATCATGTTTAATGTGCATAGTGCCAAAGCTATACATGGTGTAGAATTTGTATAGAGATTGCTGTGTACTTGGAGCAAACAATTCCCCCATGTGCTTTCACTTAAAAAAATCGGAGAATTGACAAATTTGGCATCAGGCACAGCCTTACCATTATGCACATTAAATAAAGTACAGTTATATTATTCATGAAGCAATATAAACAGGCTACCACTTTCGGCACACATTTTGGTGATTATCTTCCAATTAACTGAAAATTACCATGTAATGATATCTGAAAGATTTTACATTTAGAGAATTTGAATTGCTGTATATAAATTTGGGCACTTGTATTTAATAAAGAGATGAATATTTTTGAGGAGCTAAAGGGGCAATTTATTTAAACCATCATATGAATTTATAGTTTTGTTAAATTACTCGATTTTATTATTAGACACTTGTTTGGTATGTAGATTTTATTATTGCATTTAAATTCTGTACTTATGAAATGATTTAATTGCTTTTGTTTAGGAATTAATACAGAAAGAAAAGAAAAGAGTGCCTTGTAAAAATAATACATCCAAAAGTAGGGATATTAATGCTGCTCAAAATGGGCAGAAATCCTCTTCGTCACTGAAGGTATGTAGTAAACTTTATTTCAGCTTCAAAAATTGGTTTCTTGTGAATGTTTATCTTTTAGAGAAATATAAATCATTTGCTGTATGAACTGTATATAATCTTTACACAGAGTTGTAAACTATAAATGATTTATAATATAAATATTTTATATAATCTTTATCTATAATATTTTTGGAAATAGTCTCTTTTCTAAGAACTGGGCTGGAAGTTGCTAATGAAGTGATCTGCACTTTTCATGATATACCACCTTATCAATTATTACTCATGATTATATGAGCCAAGAAAAGCTGAACTGGACATGGGAGACTATACTTTCTTATTTTCTTTGCATTTGGTTTATCTTCGGCCACTCAATAAATAATATGGTGCTATTGTACTGTTTTTATTACAGTCATTATTTCTCTGAAATTTTCTGTTAAAGATATATTTTTGCATATAATTAGCATTAACATGGAAGTGATATTCTTCTTGAAAAATATTATGCTTTAAAAATTGTGTTATTTGATGCTCAAATTGTATTCAAAAAGCAGATTAACATTACAGAAAGGATTTGTTTTAGTAACAAACTTTCTCTCTAAAATCATAAATATAGTTTTTTTAGTAATATAGTACTAAAAAAACTTTTTTAGTACATAAAGTTTCTTAGTACATAAAAATAGTTTTTTTAGTATCAGAAATATAGTTTTTTTTAGGGGCAGTAGGAGGATGCTGAGGAGTGGTGACCTTGTTTTGGGCAGTGGGCTGTTCTGGGTGGTAGAGAGCAGTGACCATGTTTTGGCCTTCAAACTTAATTTTAAAACTGCCAAAAAAATTATTCAATCAATTATCCAGTTGACACCATATGTACGAGCAATAAAACGAACTTAGGCGACTGCTTCTAAGAATAATGAGGTGAATTTAGGATGACCTTGAAGGACTCGACACTACGGTTTTCTGCGATCCCAACCAGCACAACGCATGTATCAGCTATTTCCCCACACTATTAATCAGTGCAATGCATTGAGCATCCTTTCAATATGAATTTTGGATTTCTTCCTTGTTTCTTGTGTTGCTTTTCATTCACTTCATTTCTGTTTTTCCCCCTTCTGTTTCGATTTACTTTCATTGTTTCTTTGGCCAGTCGCCTAGGTAAATGCACTTATTAGTTCTTTATCATGAATTATTAATTTTGAGAAATAGTAACTTTCCCTCATCATATTTTGCTGCTGCTAATGATGCCATTTAATAAAAAGAAATGTTGTCAATACAGTTCCACGTACTTGAAGTTTAGATTCGTTCCTTTGCTGCCAAACTTGCAACTGCTAATGTGTTTACTTTGTAACAAAGTGTTATCTAATGAGGCAGTGAAACCATCTTGTTCACTGCAGTGTCAGCAAAAATTTCATCCTGACAAACAAAATAAAGATTTGTCGTTTTTCATGAACATCAGGGACAAGTTCCTGAAAGCACCATCTGTCTCAGGTTTACTACTAGCATCATGAAAACCATGCATTGATGGTTTGATAGCCTCCTATAATATATCAAAATTAATTGCTAAATCAAGAAAAGCTCATACCATCGGGAAGAGTTGATACTGCCGGCTGCCGAGGAAGTTTTAGAAACAGTTTTACACTATACAGCCACACCCAATATTATAAAATAATGCCCAATTAAGCAATGATACAGTATGATGACGAATTGATGAGATGGCTGAAGATAAAGCTTCCTAATGCAAACTTTTGAAACTCACCAAATTTTATCTTCAGGTTGATGAAGCAATCTTGTCAAGTACTAATGAGGCTTTAATGTTAGCATATGTCCGGTTTGTGAAGGAAGGAAAAATTATTCAAGAGATGCTTTTTGGAAAAAGTTGATTGCAGATACTTAAAGTGAATGTACCGGGTGATTAAAAAGTCAGTATAAATTTGAAAACTTAATAAATCATGGAATAATGTAGATAGAGAGGTAAAAATTGACACACATATTTAGAATGACATGGGGTTTTATTAGAACCAAAAAAAAAAAAAAAAAGTTCAAAAGTATGGGTTGGATTTACCACATCTACTGTTATCGGGCCTTTTTTCTTCGAGGAAATGCGTGATTCTGGTTTTGTAACTGCTACCGTGACGGGTGAGAGGTACGCCGATATGTTACAGAATCGCATCGTCCTCAGCCTTTCTGCTAAACAACTGCTGGAACGTACGATTTTTATGCAGGATGGCGCTCCACCCCATATTGCTCACCCCTATATGAAAGACCTCTTGCGCGTGTCGTTTGGTGATGATCGTGTGCTCAGCCGCCACTTTCGTCATGCTTGGATTCCCAGGTCACCAGACCTCAGTCCGTGTGATTATTGGCTTTGGGTTACCTGAAGTCATAATTGACCGACATCTCTAGAGATGCTGATAGACAACATCCGACACCAATGCCTAACCATAACTCCGAATATGCTTTCCAGTGCTGTTCATAACATTATTCCTCGACTACAGCTATTGCTGAGGAATGACGGTGAACATATTGAGCATTTCCTGTAAAGAACATCATCTTTGCTTTGTCTTAATTTGTTATGCTAATTATTGCTTTTCTGATCAGATTATTACTTTTCTAATTATTGCTTTTCTAATAAAACCCCATGTCATTCTAAGTATGTGTGTCAATTTTTACCTCTCTATCTACATTATTCCATAATTTACTAAGTTTTCAAATTTATACTGACTTTTTGATCACCTGTTATTTTTAACACTGTCAAAGATTATTTTAAAGAAAAAAATATTCCTCTTGCGAACATTATGCCTGCTGCCACCAATGGAGCTCCTGCAATGGCAAGTTGTCATCGCAAGAGGAAGCATTTGAAGGAAGAGGTTTTAATTATCCACTGCATGATTCATAGGCAGCATTTAGTTGCAAAAAACCTCAGTGAACCATGTACATCAGTCATTACAGTATGTCATCTCTACTGTGAACAAAATTTTCAGTAATGTTCTCAACTATCAATTATTCGAGCAGCTGTGTAAGGACAACGATGAAGAATTCAGTTGCTTGCTTTTACACACTGAGATTCGCTGGCTTCCGAAGGCACCTAAAGGTGGGTATGTTCTGGAATCTTTTCAGCTTCGTATCTGAGTTCCTCAGAGAGGAAGATGTAGCTCTGAAAGACAGATTGCTACAAGGTTGTTGCTAAGATTGATGTTGCTTACATGACCGATTTATTCGCAAAATTCAATGGAATTAATTTGCAGCTTCAAGACAAAGAGCTGAATTTGATCACAACAGAATCTGTTATTTCTGCTTTCCTAAAAAAAACTCACTTAAAGCAGAATTTTGGTTGCAATGAATTCAGCCAGTGTCTGATCTTGTCGGATCTGCACAACAGCATTGAAATCCCGTTCAGTGAAACAAAGTTTACTGTCAACATCTTGAGTCTTTGCACAAGGACTTTGCTGAGCGTTTTGTGGAGGTTTTGTCCCTGGAAGTCCCTCAATGGATCATAAACCCTTTTATAAATATTGAGAAAGCAGAGGTTCAGATTCAGGAGGAACTAGTTGAATGTTCAGATAATGAATCTTTGAAAACCAGCTTCTAAAATGGTGATCTCACAGAATTTTGGCTTCAAAGTTTGGCATTTGCCTGTACCCAAAATTGTGGACTATCATCAAAAAAATTTTAATTGCCTTCTCTTCCTTCTACATTGTTGAGCGAGGATTCAGTGCTGTGACTGATCTAATTACAAAAAAGAAAAGTCAACTCCAAATCGTGGAAAGCAAGGACTTGCACCGTTATCTCACTAAATATATTGAACCGAATGTTCAGAAACTGGCTCTGAAACATCAAGCACAAACATCCTAATGATCATACTTGATTTTTTATTTGATGTTACTCATTTAATGTATTTGTGTTGTTATTTTAATTATTTAACTAAGAATAAAGAATTTTTTTAAACATGAAAGAGCATTTAAGAATTATTCTATATTAGTCATTTCAGTTTTAACCAAAGGAATGCAATTGCCTTCCAGGGCAAAACTATCAAGTTAAGCAAACAAATTTGGTGTGTAAGTCTACTGAAAAGAATTAAATTTTTAAGAGTTAAACAAATTAAAATTAACTTTTAAAATTTTAATAACTTTTATAATTCAGGGAGCCCTCTTTCCCACACCTTAAATTACAGGATTTGCACATGAGAGCGTTGAAAAATTTTTTACTCCTTAGGGGGAGCAGCAGCTTTTAAAAGGTTGAGAATCACTGTACTAACCTGTAACTAATTGAACTTTTCCAGTCAACATTCTCTGAATAGGATGCAGCATTCTCTGCATATATACGGATATTACTTCCTAGTAGTTCTAAATCAGTACATATAATATGTATAGTTATGGTGTATATATATATACACTATAATTTGTAAACTAAATTGTGAAGATATTGACAGAAAGTATATTTACATAAAATTACTGTGTAAAAAAATTTGTTATTTTTAGTGCGCCAATTTGTAATTTCATCTTTAACACAAAATAAAAAAGAAAATATGCATGTGAAATTCACTTTGTACTTACTTATTTCAGGTTAAGAATATTTAATAGTTTGTTGGTAGTTATGCAACCACATGGGTACAATATGGCAATTTTTTACAGATGAGAAGTAAAAGTTACTTATCAAGTGCATATTGGTTGTTTTCGCAGCTTTTTACGAAAACATTCTGAAGTATTGGGAATTATTGTAAGTTGGCAAGCATTATCAACATATGAAAAATTAACATACTTTATCAATTTAAAATAAAAATTTTAATTTTTAAATAAGGATTATGTGATATGTTAAAAAAATAAAATACTTATTTGTCTCCAAAATCACTGTATTTTTTATGCTATTTTGTTTCTTGCATACACAGTGATTTATTTTTGCTTAAAAAAATCAGAATTGCAAAGACAACATTGCTGAAACCTCGGTAGCACCAGCTATCTACAAAACTAATTTCATCATTGCTCCCTTTAGAGAGTTTGCTTCAAAATTCTGTTCCTGAAGAAATTTTACGTCACTTTCATCCACCACTGGCAAATTCCACAAGTGTATATTTTATTTTAAAATTGAGTAAGGCATAAAATATCATGATTTGTTTATTAAAGCTGCTGGAACACATCAAAAAACAATGTATGAGGAAAATGGCAACATTGCTTGACTGAAGGATTTTTATGAACATGGTTGCTTGAAGAATCATTATGCGAATAGTTGCCATGTGAGTTAGAGGTAATTATGATAAAGAAAAGTACCATTTGCTTATGTATTTCATTAATAAGAATTGTAATGTATAGAGAACCAATGTAAGGACAAATTCCTTTAGAAAATGTTCCATTAAGGCATCTGTAAAGTTATCTTTAAGCAAATAACCAATTCAAGAATGTTTTCTTCAACCTAATCAAAAACTTGTGGAAAATGTGACATAGTGACTGGAAAACCATTCATGAGAACTGGTGAGTTGAGTATAACTGCAGGACAGTGGGAGCATGACCAGCTTGGATGCCATGCATAAGATGATGGCAGAAAAAAAAATGTATTTGTGCATAGTGTCATGTAAAAATTGTGTGTTTTATTTTATGTGTGTGTAGTAACAATAAAAATGTAAATATAAACTCCAAAGGAGTGTTTGGAAGTTTCCTGTTACAATAAGTTTCATCAACTGGAACCAGACTCAGAGGACGAGTCACAATGTCGCAGTCCATAGGATTTAGTCAGAATAAAAACTACAAAAAATAACCACTAAAAATTAAAAATGATGAATGGTAATAATAGCAAAGTACTACACAAAGAAGTATGTGGTTAAATTTTGTGATGTTGAAATGGATAGGAATGTGGTGCTAGAAGATATGGAGCAAATTAAAATAGCAAAAAGCAGAAAGTGTTTCAAAGTGGTAAATTGAGCTGGCTCTGAAATTATGATTGGCTATTTAGAAATGTTAACTTCATCCATGTTAGGAAATCATACTTGCGTGAAGTGACTATAAGGTTTTGCTCTGCATTGTGACACAGCTGCATTGTAAACTGTATGTGAAGCGTGGTCAATTAGTGGTTCCTGAATGTCATAGGAAAGAAATTAGGAAGTTGGCTCATGAAAACTTGCAAAAGGAGTTTTATGCAGCGAAAAAGGCGATGAAGATGATAAAAATGTTATTTTGGTGGGAAGTATTGGAATATGAGTTCTGGAAGGGGTGTGCAGCTTCCAAGGAATGCCAGCTCCAAAGAAAGATAGCAGTGAAGGAAGGAGCACCCATTACAGCAATAAAGAGGTCAGAACTTTCTTCTCAAGTTGTAAACATGAACATTTTATGGCTGATGTAACCAAAATACTTATGAGGGCACCAGTCTGAGTTTTGTGTAGTTATCAACAGAGGTACATAGATGGCCTGGTACCACTTAAAGTGGTGATCGTGAAGGTTGCCTATGACGCCTTTATTGATATTTTTGTATGAACTGGAATTCCAGGAATGATTGCCTTGGATTATGGGATGAATTTTAAAGCTAATGAAAGAGATTTTGAGTCAACAAGGGAGCCTTTAAAATTTTCTACGCCGGGTTATCCATAGTCATACAGGCTGATGGAAAATGGATCAGAACAAGGAAATCAGTGTTTGCATTACGTGAATAAGTAAGCAGAGAGGAAGCTGTTATAAACAGTTACTATGGACATACACTATATTTATTATGAGGTATAGGGAGATACCGAACTCGACTACTGGAGTCACCATTTTGGTAAATGTTTGGTCAAGTACCAGTTGAACTTTTGGAGATACTTATATCAAGTTAGGTAGATGAAGCAGTGTTACTGCAAGGAGCTGGAGAATCAGTAATGGAATTTCGCTTAGAAATAGCTTACAGGAGGTGGAAATATTCCCTAAAAAAATTTGGAAAATAACCAGCAGAAGTATGTTTGTTATCACAATTTGAGATGCACAGAAAGAGAATTTGATATAGGAGATTAGGTTTGTATTATAACCATTTTCAACAAATAAAAACTTTGCTTCAAATAGACAGAACCTGTATAAATAATTGAAAAAAGGTATCTCCACATTCATTTTTGGTGAGCTTACCCAATGAATCAGTTAAACATCTTCATCAAAACAAGTTGCAGAAATACATAAAACACATAAATGTAGTGGGAATAATTTTTGAAACTGGTGCAAAAGTTGAACAGCTGCAGCATGCCCTATTCAAAGGAACCTGAAAATAGAAAAGTTGCTTTATAGGATTGGTACTGCAGATTACTGGAGACATTTTAGATAGGGTACAAAAGAATTGCTTGAGCGACTGATCAAATTTTTCCATGTAGTGTTTCATGGAGCAATTAAATATGAAGTAGGATCCCACAACATCTGGTTAAAACTGGATGTTGAAAGAAAGCAACCTCATATTTATAAGGAATTGAGGCCTTCAAACTATAAGTGAAAACCCATTTCCTATGCAAAACATAGAGGAGTTTCAATATAAAGTGGGGAAGCATGTTATTTGTCTTCTCATTGATCCTACGCATAGTCAATACATGACAAAATTTAATAAATTAAATTATTATTCCAGAATGGATTAGGAATATTTTAATTCACAGTAATAAAGGAAAAAACATTTAGAATTACAAACATCAAGCAGCAAACTTTTTATTGTTATCTATATTTGTTGCCATTCTAGAATAACTAAACTTCTCAACAACAAAGATAATATTATATATGAGATACTACATCACTCCTTCCCCATTAATAATATAGTTATAATATAGTTTACAGTATGCAATAACAATAAGAAAAATTTCAGTGTGCATGCAATGTATACAAATTTGAAAGGGAAATATATACGTAAAATGTATATGAAATGACATTAATGAATGGCATGTAATTAATCATCGTAATGCGTTGGAAACCTTACATGTCTACCAGAGCGTGCAGTTTTTTCTGACCAGATTTTCATTGGTCAATGTTTGTGCACTATCTAACTTCTTGCAATGAGGAGTGAATATGGGCATCTAGAAGCCCAAATTTGGAATTCGTTTTATTATCTATTTTGTATTTTGTAAAGCATTTATGAGTTTTTGATTAAGAGGCTCAAAAACAATTTCAAAGCAAGCAATGGTAACATTTTTATCTCCAGTGCTCAAGATTGTGTATGAGAAATTGTAAGGATATGCTTTTTTTAATATTTTGTGATGTTGTTGTTGAATGGAATTTTATGGTTTAAGTGCGAAGGATATGATATTTAATAAATGATTGTAGCACACAAAATGTTAAACAAAAAATGCTCCTTTAGGCGTAATATAAAATCTGGAAGTCTTCCAAATTTTTTACTTTATTTAATTATTATTTATTATTTTTTTTTTTTATTTTCTAGTAATGTAAATATTTTTGCAAATACAGTTTAGAAGGATGTTATATTCCAATTTCATTTAAAGAAAATTTTAATTAGCCATAAAATAGTTAAATATTCAAAATTGTTTTGCTACACTTTCCCATTTACATACATGCCAAATAACTGTACTAAATACGCACAAAGTACATTAGTAAAGTCTGCATGGCATGAGTGTAAAAATGCAAATGTAGCAAAAGAGGTCAAGTAAAATATTTGGAGTTGCATAGCCTGTAGAGCCGAGTATTTTATTTTCAAAATAGGTGATAGAAATGTGCCACCTTGTATGAAGAGTGAGGTTTGAACAATATTGCATGCATGCAACAATGTTTCCTTTTTAATGTATTTGATAATATTTTTTCATTAATTTCTATTAGTGGGCATCATATCTGAGTGTAATTTTTGTACATCTGTATGTATTGGAAAGCTGTGCTTCATAATGAGCTATCTAATTTCAGTATTACTGTAATATTCTCTAATGTTCACATATTTAATTAAAGAATAAAAACATTTCCATTCCTTGTTTTAGGAATTACCTGCTGCACAAAACAGACCTAAATCTGTTGGAAAATCATTTATTTTGGATAGTGTTAAAAAAAATTCATCTGTATATTCATCAAGTTTGCAAGATGATCATGCAGAATTTATTACGGATGGGGATCCCAATTGTAAGTTTAATATTTTTATGTGTGTATATATTCATAGCGTGTTTTATTATTTTTGCATAATAAAAAGGAAGATACAATTTTGTATTAAAAATGTTATTTGTCTATTATCCTAGTATTCAGCTCAGTTTTTATCTACAGTTATTTAATGATGATGTGCTATTTTCCAAAAACTATCTTTTTTGTGTGTGTGCATGAAAAAAGGAGGGCATAAATGAGACATGAAATTTAGTTGAAATTTTGATAACATAATGATGTAATATATTATACATTGGTTGGGTTTTTTGGACTGCAAAACTCCAATTATGAAGTCTTTAAGTTATTTACATATTTGCATAACCACTTTAGTCTAATTTGGTGATTTTTTTAAGAAAAAGAATAATATCTTTATAATTATGCTAAATTATTTATTTACATATATACTATTATTTATTTTTATTATGCATTTTTTAATTTATCTTGCAAACAGTCAATAAATTTACAAGCAAATTTTTGATTCTTTTGATCTGGTAGAAATTTTGTAACCATTGCATAATGTGTTCCAGCTCAATTTTGTAAAAAGAGATGCAATGTTCCCGCAGCAATTACACAGTTTCTTTCACTGCTAAGCAAATATGTTAAAATATGCACTGCTAAGCAAAGTGTGTATTTTAACATTGAGTTGAACAGAAAATGTATGATGTTTGTTAAAACTTAAGAAATACAATGCACATGGTTATGCACTGTTATTAAAGTGATCAAAATACTGAAATACCTTGTATCACTTTTCAAAATGTTGCCACTAAATATTATCACCCTGTGTGATATTTAAAGGAATCAAATAAAAATGAATCTGCGTGAATATATGTATGTTTTTTCCGCAATGTGGAAAAAACAACAGTACCTAGAGCCATCAAATTTTGAATAACGTTATCCTACATCCAACCATGGGCTCCTGAAAGCCCGACTTTGTTTTATTTTCTGCTTCATATTTTGTTATACTTTAGCAAATTTTTTATTAGCAAACTCGATGATTTCAAAGCCAGCAGTGGCAACACTGTATGAAAAAAAAATTATCTGCAGCACAAAGACTGTCTGTTGGAAATTCTCAACCTATGCTGTTTTTAAATATTTTGTGATTTTGCTGTTGAAGGGAATTTTATGTGGGGTAAGCACCAAGAATGTGATAGTTAATAAAAAAAAGTAAGCACACAAAACATTAATAATAAAAAAGCCATCTTAGTAAGAAAACTGAACATTAATACGATGAACTGAGAAAAGATTGAAAAAAACAGAAAAAGGTATGCCAACACTTAATACTGCATCAAGAATTCTCAGTGTTCTCTGTTATCCTGCTTTTAAAATTTTTCTAATTTTGTTGTTGAATTGTGTATGGCATAAGTGTGAAGAAAATGATGCTTAATAATAAAGCTAAAAGGGGGGATGGGTTAGTTGGAGTGAGTGTAACAGCAGGTTTGTAGACTACAAGCTCAGCGAGAGCATAAAAAAATTTTAATAAACCCTTTTGGGAAACTGTTAAAATCTGAAACCTTTCAGATTTTGTTATTTTATGTATGTGTTTTTGTTTATTTATTTCACTTTTATTATTTTTCTTTTAATATCAAATATATGCAATTACAGCAATATACACTGCCATCAAAATTCTTATTTTATGTAAAAGAAAATTATTTATCAAGAGTAAAATTTTATTATTTCATATGAGATAATCAAGTGTAAATGCATAAAACATAAATATTTGGTTGTAACATAAGATTTCCACCAGAAAACGTTCTTAATAAAGTTAGGGAAAAAACATGAAAGCAGTACTTAAGTGTGGGTAGTAATCACCACCCAAATCCATGATTTTTTGCCAACGTTTTGGTAGTTTTTGAGACTCTTTGGTTGAGAAACTTGGTGGCCATGGGTCCAAAAACAGATCGTCTTTTCAGACGTCATGTGCAGAGTGTAAGATAGCACCAGCAAGATGTAGGTGCAGGTGTGAAAAAAGGTAGAAGTCCAAAGGAGCTATAACCGGGCTATATGGTGGGTGTGCCAAAAGATCCCATTCAAATCTGTACAGAGCGTGGCCGGTGAATGCAGACACATGTGGTCTTGCATTATCTTGATGGAACATTACCTTCTTATGCCAGAACTCAGTTCGACGTTTTTCCTTGATAGCAGTGTCAACACGGACTAGCATCTTGCTGTACACCATACTGTTAAGGGTTTTGCATTTTTCTAGATACTCTTTGTAGGTAATACCATGGGAATCCCACCAGATAGAAAGCATGATCTTTTTGTTCGTCAAATTTTGCTTTTATGACTCTGCCAATGGTCTCATCGGATGCATGTCAACCCTTTTTGGCCTGTGTTATTGAAGTAAATCCACTTTTCATCACAAGTCTATTCTGGTTCATAATTCTGCCCTTTCACTGATATTCGGACAGATCAGTGCAGGCTCGAACAGGTCTGACCTTATCTGCTTGAGTCAGCTCATGCAGCTCATCTAGTGATTGAACTTGTATGTCAAATTTCTGCAATGCATAGCGTGTTTAATAGACATGACACTAACATCTAACTCCTTAGGAAGCTCTCTTTCAACTGATCTTTTTCCACAAGCTCTCGCAGGCATGCCTCATCAACATCAGTACGCCAGCCAGAGCACTCTGTTTCTTGAATGTCATAGTCCTTGTTTTTGAACTTTTGGTACCGAACCCTCACAGTGTCATATGATACAGCATTAGTACCTAAAGGTGTACTCATGATTTGGTGACATTCCGTAGCTGACTTTTGCATCAGAACTGTATGTAAATCATGGTTCTAATCTGGTAGCATGATAGTTCCATTTCAGATACCTTTTACTGAATGATAACTGTATATTTTTACAAATTTCAAAGCATAGTGTTCTGAAGCAAGTTTCCTTCTTTCAAATGGCAAAAATCGTTTGACAAAATGCGCCAATCCAAACTGTTTGCGAAAACGATGTTTGTGGTGGTGGGGAAACTTTCGTTAAAACCTCATATTTAAATTGATTAGTAATACAGCTTTGTTATATATGAATAAAATAAATATACTACCACTAAGAAAGTAAAAAAAAAAAAAAAAAAAAAAAAAAAAAAATCAATTTCTTCCAACTGATTTTCTCTCCCACTGAAGAAACTACCTAAAACTGCTAAGAATAAAGTCTTTCTAAAATTTTATTTTACACTGGTATTATCTATCATGAGGATAAAATTTCAGAAAAAAACACATGAACTATTTAATGTAGTTCAGATTAAAGTTCAGTAGGATTAATAGAAAATTTTCAAATTTTTCCCTCTTTTAAATTTTATTAATCATCACCAAAATTTCAAAATAGGTTATTGCATGCGACAGAAAAAGAAAAAAAAAAAAAAAAAAAAAAAAAAAAAAGAGAGGGAGACAGAACTCAATTCGTTTACATTCTTTTTGTGTTCATATGGATTCAGATTTGTAATTTCATTTCTTTTTTATTTCAGTCTTATTTTCTACTCTTTCTTTTTTCTATTTTTGATACTGGTATGAACAGAAATTAATTTCACTGTCGTGTGTAAATTCACAGATGTGAAAGATATCTCACTGTGATTGTACAAAAAATACATGCATACATACAAACATACATATGCGTTTGCGTGCACATTCGCATATATATTCCCAAGCAAGCACACAGATTAGGTTTCTTAAATTATATAGAAAATAAATGTTTCTAATATAATTTAAGAAACTAATTTAAAATTAGATTCTAAATTTAAATTAGAAATGCATATGCTAATATATGACTAAAATATAAATAAAATAATGTAAACATGGAACACTTTTAAAAGCTAGTTTCTACCAATTTAGTAGAAGAAACCTATTTCTTCTGGCGGGTTTTTTTCTGTAGTTTTTCCTATGTTTTTTTCTGCTATGAAAGAAATTTATCAATCCTGATAGCTAGGTGGTCGCAGGTCATCTGTTGAACACTTACAAGAGAGCATATTCAATTCATTATTTCTCAGCATGCTATTGCACATGTGCTGCTATGATGTATATTTTCTCTTATGCTAGTGAATAATTTATATTCCTTTTACCTTTTAGTTCCTTTCCTTTAAACTCTTAGATGGCAGAGCCTTCACAAACCTATATGCTTAAATTACTGAAATGCCTGATTTACCATTTGAGATTCACAGCAGTTTTTCCACCTGCCCTCATCTATTAAGGGACAATATGCTGCGAAGGTTTCAGATGTCTTTCAAATGTCTGTTTCTACTTCCTAACAAGGAGTATCAATTAGCCACTTTATAAATGGATTCTGAAATTCAGACAGGTTTATGGTCAGTGATTTACTTGGTTCATATGACGACAGGAAAACTGATCTACTGTGAAAGTTATTTATGCAATAATAAGAGTTTATTATTGAAATGTTGTACCTAATATTTTTTTTCATTTTAACTATATAGTATTTTATTTTGTCATTTTAACTATATAGATGGAATTTTTTTTTTTTTTAAATGACAGCACTTTATTTAATAGCCATAAAGTTTGCACCACTATAAGGGCTGGAAGTGGTGGCCATTTCATTATGGAAGCACCTAATAGGTGCCCACCATGCCTCCTATGAAGGAACAGGCATTTACAACCATGCCTTCTCTGGTATTCGAAACTGGGCCCATCACTAAGGCAGTCAGGCTCACTAACCCCTGTACATAGATGGAAATATTGTTTTAAGTTAATTTCATTTTCACCACTGTTGTGGCGATTTTGAACTATATTGTTCCATTAAAAATTTCAGTATTAAATTACATTTTCTTTTTCACACTGGAGTTCTTAATAAATATTTTTAATCAATACATTTCCATTTTTAAAATCTCATTAATTGGTGAAGGCACGGCATTAAAAATTTGATAATTTTCAAAGAAACTTTAGCTACATATGAAATTTGGATTGGGAAATTAATTATTAAATGCTTCTTTCCCTAATGAATTATTATCATGCAAAACATTTTCAAGAATTTGGATTTTTTTTATTTTTGTATATTTTATAAGCATGTTATGCAAAAATTAGCCTGTTTGAAAAACAAATGATATTTTCAAGTTCTGTCAGTACTTCATATTCAAGATAAATGAAAGTTATTGACTAATGTAGCTTCACCAACTCACCCTGGTTTTAATATGATCACAACTGTGATTTTGTGTGTTTCTTTTATGTTTACATGAAGGAATAAGTGGATTAAAAGTAATTCTTAAAATTTTAAATAACAGCAAAATTGCTGCATAAACAGTAGATATTTTATTATAAATTTTCCAAAGTATGTAAATATTTCTGGCTTTTGGTAAAGAATAAAAAGTTGATTCTGCTAAACAAAAGACATATAATACTATTGTCACATGTAATTTAAACACGAGCCAGTTTCCATTGAAAAATTTTCCCAGAAATCGCCCGTTCCCTCAAGCAGATCACTTGTATGTTTTGCTATATTCAACCACTTACCCTATTGTTTGTTCGTGAATGTAATAAAAATAGAATTCTTTAATGTAACTTCTTCAGGGAATTTCTTATTTTTAATGCTTAAACAGAGGATTAAGGTTTCACTTTGAGTACCTCTTTTTTTTGCATGTTAATTCATTACTCTTTAATTAAATTGCTGTCTTTTTTTTTTTTTTTTTTTTTTTTTTGTTGTTTGTTTTAATTTTTCTTTATTTTACCTTTCACAAAAATAATGGCTATGTTTGTATTTGTTGATTGTTAGTTTGATCCTGTCTGTGTGAGGAATAAATCAAAATTTGTGCTCCTTTTGTTTTATTTATTGTATCATTTTCTACAGTGATATGAATATTCATTATAAATATCATTATTCTTTCATGTTCTATTTATTTAGTTGCATATGTTTATTATTATTTCTGCTTATAGTATAGGTAAATGTACATGTGCGTATATCACTTATGTAAATTTGCAGGTAGACATATGGAAATATAATTATATTAAAATATGGGTATTTAATAAATATTTTTACACATTACGTGCTTGCAAGAGTACATATTTGCATGCATTAACATGTCTGTGTATATATGCCTATTTGGGTTCAGTATATATTTTTATGATGATGCAAGTTTTCTCCTTTTTTAAATTCTGTGGTCCAGAAAAGAGCCATTTTGTGGCCCTGCAAAAGGCCTTTACTTTGTGTTCCATTATTCGAAATCCAAAACATAAAAGAATGTTTTGTAAAAAAACATTTTGCATACATCATACTTCCAAGAACTTTCAGTGTGTTTCTCACAGTTTATCTTTTCCCCTAATTCTTTGCATCTAACATAAATCCATTTATGTTCTTTAATTTTTTGTCATTTGTAATTATAGAATGCATTAAGCAAAAATGGACCTGAGCTTTGTTTTCAAAATGAATTTTCCATTGGCATATCTACTATTTTTTCATATACGTACCTTAGCCGCCCTGATGAGAAAGTGTTTAGTGACTCTGACTGATCAAAAAGGACCCAGGTTCAAATCCCAGAAAAGGCATGAATGTAATTTGTCCATCTTTTCATAGGCCTATGAAAGAAATTTATCAGTGGTGGCAACAGTGGTCTACCTATTAGGTGCCTACATAATAAAGAGATCACTGCTTCTGGCCTTAATAGCAGCTAACCCCTATAAACGGCTAAAGCCTGCCATTTTGGAAGGGGGTACTGCCTCTCTCTCTATTTGTTTCCCTCCAAAAAAAAAAAAAAAAATTCTATTTTTTAACCTTGAATTTTACCAAGCAAATTATAGTTTTGTGCTGTTTTGTGTTAAGATGATATAGCTTTTTCAGTTTAAAAGGGGTCAATTTTATAGCACATATTTCTGTAAAATTAAAAAAAAAAAAAAAAAAAAAATTCAACTCAAATTTCTATGCAGCGTATCAGTGAAAGCTGCAGCATTTTGTGCAATTCAACAATTGTTTTTTCAGCTCCAAAATGCTTTAGATACCTCAATTTATACTTTTGTAAAGTATCAAGAAAATAATAACTCTGAAACAAAAAATTTGTTGAAATAGCCATACCAAGAAGGAAATAAATATGATGCTATAGATATAAATTTAATTTTGATGCCCATGAATGAAACAGAAAGAGAAATATGCAAATGTAAAATTAGACAATTAAGGATTTGCTAATACAAGGAATGACCTGATTATGTAAGAGAAAGTACTTGCATTTCTTCCTGATTATTCTGCAATTTTAAGTGAAGAAAGTTTAGATATTATTAGTTATTCTGAAGTTTATTATATAATAATTAACTGTATGTTTATAAACAATTTATTGTAATAAATTTATCGTTTGATAATGTAATGTATATATGCATAAATATGTTTATTCATAACGTTTAGTAAAATAATATTTTTTCCACTTCTTCCAGCATTAATACCAGAAAAAAATTAATTATAATTTTCAGATAGCAGAAGCAGGATTCAGCAATCAAATGTTACATTCTTAAATCGATTTTCATCATCTCTTCTCCTTAATAGTATGAAGAAGAGAGTTCTTCAAGCTGAATCTAAAGCTGTATATACTCCATGTGGTAAGATTTATATTCACATTTGCTTCAAATGTTGTACAGTTTGTCTCTGTGAGTAAAAAAGAAACTAGAATAAAATGAATAAAATTAGTAAAAACTTATGGTTCAAAGATGGAGTTAAAACCAGGCCTGCGGAGTTGGAATCGGTGTCGGGTAGATTTTTGGGTAAAAGGAGTTGGAGTTGCTAAAAAACACGTCCACTCCGACTCCAGCTTTTGTTGAACAGTTTGAATTTGAAATAAAATTTAAGTGAATTGAAAAAAAATTAATGACAAATTGAGTTAATATTTTTATTTATGGACTATACACAATGATAAATAGTTACTATTTTCTATTTTATTGACATATTAGTAAATAAATATAAGGAAGCAGGATGAATGTGATATTTGCCATTATTGATGAAACTGATTCATTTAGTTATTAATCTCATTGGTGAATTGAGGTAAGCAGCAAGAACTCCCAAAACTGATGCCATTCTTAGGAAGCGAGCAGGAAAAGGAGCATCACAATGGAGAAGTACATATTTGGTGATATAGTGGTCGTTAGGATTAAGAACTTTTTCAGAAGATGTGAATAACCCTAATATTTCACTAACAGAAAGACTGTGGAATGATCTTGCAGAACTCGAAATCCTTCTTTCAGCACCGTATATAGCCACAAAAAAGCTACAATCTGAAGAATTAACAGGAGACGAGAATGTTAGAAAATGTAGATAACCTTAATGTTTCACTAACAGAAAAACTGTGGAATGATCTTGCAGAATTGGAAACTCTTCTTTCTATACCGTATATAGCCACTATAAAGCTACAATCTGAAGAATTAACAAGAGGCAATAGTGGAAGAATGCGATGTTTGTTCTTTCTGAAATAGAGGTTTTATTGCAGAAGGAATCAATTCTTCAATAAAGAAAAGAGAAACTAGTTTGCTAGACAATAAGATCGCGCTGGGTTCAATCAATGTAGATCCAAAACGCCGAATTTGTTGGATGACAAACAAATTAAAAAGGCAAAGAAAGCCAGCTATGAACTTTCATTAAGAATGAAATTATTCTCAGAACAACTGGAGTATTTGAATCAGGACAGTCAAACTGAAGACATTGCAACTGAGTCTCTATCATCATCTTCCACTGATGAATTAGATTTTGAGAAATATTTGGATAATATTGAAATGGCTAAGGCAAAGCGAATGAAAATAAAGAACCAAGAGCCTTTAGATATAAAAATGAAAAAATACAAACAAGATTTATACATAGCCTTTGAAAAAACAGATAAATATGATTGCTCTTGCAAGACACTTTTTTTATAACTTACAAAAATCTATCCTGAAAAGTTAAAGGAAGTAGCCGTAACAGTAACAGCTCTTCTACTCAAGTCAATGTGGAAAGACTCTTTTCAATTTTGAAGTTTATCAAATCGGATCTATGGTCCTCTAACAAAGAAGATCTTGCCGAAGTTTTGCTGTTTCTTAGAAATTTCTAATGCCAGTTTTTCCATTTCATAATAAATGCTAATTAATATAAAAATTTTGCTATGCATCAATTTTTATCTGTAGCATCTACTACTTCTTTTATATTAAAAAAATAAACTGTACCCATGTTTATATGTTTACATACATATGGACGAGTCGAAGTTGGAGTTATTAAAATTCCAGGAGTCAGAGTTGGAGTCGGTCATTTTCCCTACCAACTCCACAGCCCTGTAGTTTTCTGAAAATTGAAAGAAGTATATTCATCTTGTTTATAAAAATCTTTATACACTTCTTTAAACATAAGTAACCTCGGGTACTGTAAATTGCATATGAATATTTTTATACAGTTTATATTTATTAGTATATTTCAGATGTGAAAGTTATTTTTAATGTCGTTGAGATAAAAGCTACATCAACTGCTTTTTATTATTTGGAAATATAGATGTTCTTTGAAAAGATCCTTAAGCTATATTTTATCATCATCATTATTTTTAAAATTTTTGATTCTTTGCTTTAAATATAAAGAATTAAATACTAACAAAATAATTCAACAGTAATTTAATAGACCTAAAAAAATATCAGTGTGTGTTATTTTATGCTTAAAGTAAAATAAGCCTGCAGTCAAATTTACCATAAAATAGTTTTAGCCTTCTGCATTAGGTCTTGTATGCAGTAATTAAATAATTGGATGGCTAGTTGCAAAATTTAATGCTTTTTTAACACTGTGAATGTAAAAATAGAAGATTCTAATATTCTGCTTAATTATATGAAAGCCAAAATGCATAAAACTCTTCCATTTATAAAAGGTAACTTGTATTTAAATGAAAGCATTTGATTCACATTTTTTGTATTTTGATTTTAAATTAAGTCTCAAAAGGTCTCATCAAGTCTTTGTTTGTTAATGCATAATGCACTAGAATATGTCTCCTTCAAATTTTATGTTCTTAGAGACTTTTGATGTTGCTTCATTTTTTATTTATAGAGCTTCTCTTTTATTTGCTTGCATGTCATCAGGAAGACATTATTCAGATGTCTCCTTGCAAAATATTTCAATGTTACTCATATTACCTCTATAAATTCTACTGAATGATTATCAATAATACTTAAAAAAATAATGGAGAATAAAAAATGAAAAATTCTCCCAATGTTTTTTACATACTTAATGAAGGAAAATTTCAAAAGTACTTACATTTTTGCTTTTTGTTACAATCATTTGCAACACCATATTTTCTTTTTTTCACAGTTATCTCTTGTGTTATTTTGTGTTTATCAGCATTATTCCTGTTTATTTTAATCTAAATTATTACTTTGAATCTACAGATATCATTCTGATATGAAATTTTCTTCTTTTCAATTTGTCTAATAATTTCAATAATTATTTACTTAATGCATCTTGAAACATGTATTATATTTCACTTCTGATTTCTCATCCTCAAATTCTCAGTGCTTAATTTTAGCTATTAATATATATATCAGGATATAATTTGTATCTTAGATGTTTATGCAATGTATTTATTTCGTTCAGTCTTTTTTCCTTTCGTATATTACTTGGTTTCAGTATAAATTTTCTCTAATGTTTTGCATAGTATTTTCCCTCCTATTTCAGCTGTACCATTAGCACTTCCTGATACAAAAAAGAATCCCGTTTTCAGGAAAGGAAAGGAAGCAAATTCATCAAAAAATTTGGAAAACTATACCAACAACAATGCTGTTTATCATTTTACTTCTATGCAATATCCAGAAAAGAAGCTGACTTTTCAGGTTTGTTTTTCTAATATGTATTTTTGTGAGTGTATGATATTTAATGTAGTATGAAATTAGACAGAAAAGCAAACTTAACTTGGTGTGGATTTTGAATAAAACTCTAAATTTGATCACTGCTTCTCTCACATAAAGAAAGAAAAAAAAAAAAATTCTCTTGAAAAGGACTTATGTCTGATCATTCTCAAAACTAATAGTGTTTTATTAAAAATTTATACCAATGTAGGATTGTTTTTCTCCTTAATTTTTTATAAAAGTGCTAAAAATTGTGATGACAGTTTGATGATTTTGTTCAGTGATTTTTATTTAAGCATGTACATTTGGCAAACATTTAGTTTAAATGTTTAACATGTTTAAATTTAGTTTAACATGTTTAACATTCAGTTTAACATGTTTAAATTTGCTTTCCATATTGCCCCTCCCCAAATAAATAAACTCTCTCTTTTTGCAATGTAAATTCTTTTGTTGTGCATTGGCAAATTTGACAAATTAACAATATTTTGGCTATTTTAAGATAAATTTACCTAAAAATTTTGATCTGGTAATTTGTGAATTTCATGGCAATTTTTCAACAGTAATAACAGCATTGTTAAATTAAAATAATGATAGTAAATTGTGTTTTTTAGAAAATTGACATTAAAATAAAATATTTTAATTTCTACCAATCATATTTTAAATTATCTTACCTTTTATTTTGGCAATTTTCAAACATTTTGATTCTGAAATTTAAACAAGATAATGTATGTTATAAAGTAGAATTTTAGAAATATTTTTTAGGAAAAAACAAAACAAAAAAATCATTGTTATTATGTTAAAATGAATTTCATTTGCCTAATTTTTATTAAGAGATTTTCCCAATGCAGTTCTTTTAAAATATTCAGATAGGATTTAAAATTAGGCAAAAAAGCCACATTATTTTGGTATAGATTTTGAATAAAACTCTATTAGTTTTGAAAATTATCAATCCTCCCCCCTTCTTGAAAAAAAGGGATCCATAACTTATCACCTTTGAAATTGATAGAGTTTTGTTCAAGATCTATATCAAAATAAGATTGCTCTTTTTTGCCTGATTTTAAATATTCCATTGTGAAATGTCTCTTCTAATTGATTATTGAGATATGCACTAGCTTTCTCCATAAAATACAGCTTACGTTTTTTTCTGAATTTTTCTCAAAAGTCTTCTGATTTTTATTCTCACAAAGTTGACATAAACTAATCCACGGGTATCAAAAACAACTATTCTAATGAGTTTTTTTGTACAATAAAATTCAGTGGTGGATTTCTTCAATTTCTACATTGATATAAGTTTTCATTACACCTTTTTCTCGTTTCTTGAGTTATGTTTTCATGATTGTAGATTTTGATTTGGACTATTTTTCTTCAGACAGTACAGGTCCTTCCACTATCTGACTTCCAAAGTTGTTTGGCAGTGCAACCTCTTGATAGGTTAGCTGGATTATTTACTCCAGGAATATATTTCCAAGCATTCAAATCTGTCAATTTTCTAATATTATTGACTCTGTTTTCCACAGAGATAATCTTGATCTCCTCTTTTGGATCCATATCAAACTGTTGTAGAATCTGTCCAAAAATACATTTAAGCATTTTACCATCATAAACCATCTTACATAGAAGAGCATAATATGGCTGTTGTCATGGCAGCTATTTTAATTCCAGATGAGGAATCATGATAGATTTAACAGGAGTTACTCTAGAGTTTGATAACAGTAGATGAACTTAGAGTTTCAGTTCTCAAAAAACTGCAGCAGCATACATATTATTACTGTCATTACAGAAAAGGGGAATGCTACAGAACTGTTTATTGCCCTTGCTGGAATGTATCCATCATAATATGGAGGTTTCTTTTAAAAAACAATTGTTTTTATATCAGCTCAGAAAATTTTCTTTCATGGTTTTGTCAACTTCAACATCCCAAGAAATTCCTGTTGTCTTTAAGTTCTGCAGCAGTGTTTTGAGGTGCAAGAGAACAAAGCTTACAACTCCAGTAGGATCAGATAATTTATGTGTTGCAGACGGAATATTTCTGTTCATTTTGAAATCCTCCAGAAAATTCAGATTCAATGTTATATGGTCTTTCTTATAGTTTCATAACAGAACCATTATGAGTGAAACAGTTTCCTAAGTTATCTTTAGTATGTAACCAGCCTGAAAGATTACATTATTGAGATTTTTTGATGAATTGAATCATCTCAGAATCATCATCAGAAGTGGCAACAACGTTATCTATATAGACGCTGTACAAGAGTTTAGCTATTATCTTCCTATCATAATGAAAATTTTCATGTGCTTTTATAGATGGAATTCTATGACAGCTTCCAAAAGCAGAGGACTTTTCTTGATCCCAAAGACTACTCTAGTATGAAGAAATATTTTTGCACCACCAAAAATTTCGAAGCCACTCCCTGTCTTGAGGCTTTACTGTGATCTGTATAAAGGCCTTCTCAGTGTCTGCTAGTAGCAATCTTGCCTTCTCCTCGATATCTCAACAGGAGAGAAGAAATTAATCTGTCAAATTTCGACTGCACTCCAAATAATGATTTAGAGAAGGAGATAATTTTGCATGCTCAGACACATCAAACACCAGCCAAATTAGTGTTGAGCTATATTCCTTAATCACCAGTGTGTGTGGCAAATAGTGTCCATAGTCAATAGCTAAATTTTCTTTAACTTCTTTGGTTACCCCTAAATTATACCAGTCGTTAAAAACTGCATCATGTAAGGAAAACAACTTTAATGAAAGAATTTTCTGGGTGGTAGATTGTAATGCTTCAATGCTGAATCCTTATAATGGATGTGGTAAAATTATTTTCAGCCCAAAGAAGTGCAACTTTAATGCTGTTCTTCGCTCAGTGATACAGAATTTTGAAACTGCATTTTTGCTTGTAAATCACTTTCCTCTTGTCTTCATTGGGGTCTCCTTTGTTATTTTGGTAACTTCAAGTCTGCACAGTTCTGATAGAGGGGCATCATTAACGAGCATATTTGACACTATCATTGTAGAATTAGCATCAATATCCATGCAGGGTATGTTTTCCATCCACTTTATTCTAATAGTGTTCTCATTAAAGCCCATCTGAATAGTATTTGAACAGCCACCAGCACACATGCCAAATGTATAATTTTTCCATTATACATTTGTATATTAAAATTATTATAATTTTTCCATTACACATTTGTATATTAAAATTATATTATTTTTCCGTTATACATTTGTACATTACACATATGTATACAGTCAAAAGTCGTTAATTCGGACACCCATAATTCGGAATGATCTATAATCCGGACCTCAAAACTAAAAACTTTCTGCGCATGCGCCGCGTTGACACATGCGCATAGGCGTTTACGCGTGCGCGTAAGACCTTTTACGGCTGCGCATATGAGTTGTGCGCAAGTACAGAATACGTTTACGCGTGCGCATTTATGTATAATGGACAGTATAAGCTAAAATTATCTAATTATCTATTTCAGTTAATGTTGCATGATTGCGTTGTTCCTTAATTTTCGAATTGGATCCGGCTTATTATTTTTTGCAGACTGTATTAGAGCAATTTTATAAAAGTAAGCTTAAACTTTCGATTATGTCAAATAGAATTTCTAATATATATTTATTAATATGTAAAGGATCTACAAGCGAAAGTATGTTTTTGAAATCTGAAATCTGTTTATCAATTTCACGCTGCTCGGCGGGGGGAATGCCGCAGCAGGCGCGTAATGAATTGGAAGTTGATCTGTCAGCACTATCCTTATCTTCAGGGCAGATGTTTTTATTTTATTTGGCTTATAATTCCTTATTAAATGTAGTATTTCATCTCGATGTACTCCGTCTTTGATATGATTTAAATCAAGTTCCTCGTCATTATAATTCGCTTCCGATAGCGAAGAAAGTGACAGAGGTTATTGAAAACGAAAAAATTTCGATTGACAAATTAGTCGGTATTCTCGACACAGCAATTACAGGACTTGAACAGCGGAACTTTGTAACTGAACAAGAAATTATGTCTGTTTAATAGAATTAAAAGAGAAAGTATTATCACATGAAAAACGAAGCAAAACTTAAACAACTTACATTGAAAAGAAATGTTTAATAAAGTAAACAAATAAATATTAAGCTTTTTCTTTTTTTTTTTTTTTTGCAAATTTTGATACCCTTTAGATCATAATTGTTCTTTATTTCATAAATTACGGTTTCATATTTTTAATTTTAGAATTTCTGCATGCCATCTTACGAGATTTAAACTGATGATCTATAATCCGGAAAAATCGATAATCCGGAATCGCCGAAGTCCCGACGAGTCCGGATTAACGACTTTTGACTGTATTACAATTTTTCCATTACAGATTAAAGTTAATATTAATTGTTTTTAATCTGTAATGGAAAAGTTATTGTACAAGTGTATAAATTTTCCATTATAGATTAAAAATCTTACCTGCTGTGTCATCTCCTTTTAACAGATCATGTTCTGATGATTTATTGTTTTTCAAGGCTTTATTCGTCTATCAAAACTATGTCATTGTCAGAAAGTTCTTAAACATATGATTCTAATTTTGCAATAAGGATGTCAACAAATTCCCTGCTCATCAAGGATTTCAAAACTGCAGTGTTAATCACCAGCTTTTGAATATACTCTTTATCTAAAATATTTCTTGGAATGCTCATTTCCATCAAATAAATTATGAATAGCCTGTTTCTCCTTAATTTTCTGTTATTGTATTTCTCTTGCTATAGGTCTGCTTAAATATGATCATTGTGAACCCAAATCAATGCATGTATGAGTTATTTTCCCTCCATTTGTACAGCCTAATCTCACATATAATGTTTGTAAGAGGCCTTCATGTGTACATGTTTGACTACTTAATGCTGCATCACTAATCGAATTCTGTTTCACTTCTGAAGGGTTTTCCTTTTGTTTTTTATGTTCCTTTAATTTTTCTTCATTGCACATAACTGCACAAAGTCTGCCCTGACATTTGCTGCAAATATTTTTGCGTTTGCAGTCTCGAGCCCTGTGTTTGATTTTACTACACAAAAAGAAGCTTGATTTCCTTGAAAATAATTTTCACTTATCATCTAATGTCATTTTTAACACAGTTCTGCCTGCTTGTAAATTATTTTGCATTTCATTAGCAGATTGTGAGGCAGAAAATAAAACCTTGCTTCTCTAGAGATATTCTGTCTTTACCCTCTGCTTCAGATTTCAAAAAGTTCATTAAGCAGTCAGTTTACTTGATAATTTACTAGTTTCAAGTAAACCTGCACTTCTTTCCCATACTTTAATAATATCTTCAGATAAATAAGATTCAATGAGAGGGTATAATTAGCATGCATGTTTGTCAGGATGTTGTCTCGGTTTTATCATACATCTTCGGAAGTAATTTTGCTTTGTTTCAGCTCAATTGCATGGTTTCAGCTTGCTTAGTAGGGATGTCGATATTGAAGACTTAGTATTACTATGCAGTTTTTGTCTGTTTCATGAATAATTTTATTATTTGTTTATTTATTCTTATTTGTTATTAAAGAGCCCTCAGTCCAGTAGAATAATCTTACTTTCTTTTTATGTGTTATAAACCTGTAACAGGTATACAGTACTATTAAAAATTCACTTTGTTTTTCAATTTTTCAGAGTTTTTAAATTTTAGCTCTCTATTTAAATTTAACTATTTTGTAAAGCATAATAAGGAAGTTTTTAGTATCATGTTTTGTTTTTATGATTTTGTTGAAGAAAATACTAATTTAATATTATAATTTCTTTTCTAATTGCAGACTTTACCTAGTATCAGTATTGATGGTAAAGCTAATTTTAGTGCAAAATCTTTTGAAACGTCTGATGTAAGTAATAAATAACAAAGATATAAAGCTGTTGGAAATGTAATATTTTATAAAGTGCTATGATACAAGTTAATGATTCAAAGTATAATACCTTTATCATAAAATGTTTTTGTTAAAAGAATAGATTCAGTTGTATGTATGGAATAAAACATTGTTTATAATGTTGCAATTGTATTTTAATTTGGGTTAATCGGGTATGATGGTTTTAGTTAATCTGTTCTATGTATGCACCTGTTGTATCCGGGGTATATTCTACCACGACATGGGCATGTAAATTACTAATGGTATATGATGTACACACCGAATTAAGTCTGGACAAATAAATTAAATAAGATCAAATGATGCATCTGATGATTATCTGGAGCTGATTATTGGCTGTGCTCTCTCAGTTAGTAAGAGAATCTCTTTTCAGGAAAGTGGTCTTGGATTTGAACCTCAGCCTGAATAAGGTGTTTTAGGTTAATGTGACTGCTATTTTAATGCTGAAAAATCATGATTCACACGTACATGTTTTTATTATATGCATATGTCTGAAGAAGAAGTTAATATATTATTGTCACATCTGTTTCACTAAGCAGCACTTTCAAATTAAGAAATGACCAATGAAGCAAACAAAGACTTACATACAGCATGTAATTTTTTTTCATTAATATTTATCAGATGTTGCAGGTGGTATACATATCATATATGTTCATCTAAATATATTAACAGCTTCTTAAAATGTGTTCACTATTTTTCATTGTCATTTTTTTATAATCTTTAAACCAGTGACAAAATTTAAAAACAATTAAATAAATTAATAGTAATCTGATTTTATCTGATCTAGAAAGAAGAACAAGTAAAAATTAGAGTTCTGTTGTGTTTCTTAAAAATTTTACAATAATATGCATATAAGATATCACTTGAAGAAAATGAAAATTGCAAGAAAAAAAGGACCCAAGTCTGCATTCATTTTGAAAATTACTTGTATAATTTTATTTAAAAGTATTGTGTTAAAAAAATTTAGCATGATTCCAAATGTTAAACTTGCAAAAAACATTTATCTTCATGTTATTCATTTATAAGTTAAATTATTAATGGTTTTTGAAGTTTTGAAATGTTTCAGATATTATTATTTCTCAATTCAGGCTGTGATAATCTGCAGACAGTAATCTTTTTAAACCTTCCTGCTCCCATTTAGAAATTTCGAAGCTATGTCATCTTGTCTACATATAAATTTATCTGAAATATCTGAATGTTGTATGTTAATCTTAACATTTGTTTTAATTTTTATATTTCAAATTTTGATTTTGGTAATATATTTTTGTTTTATTTAAAAAATTTTTATATTTTATGCATTTCTAGTTTCATTTTACTGAACAGAAAGATTTTTTTTGTGGAAGTGGTATGAGGACTAGATTCTTGCCTATGTCTGCAGAAAATAATTGTGTGCCTCAGTCTTCTTCTTCTAATCAACAACTACTTTCTGTGCATTGTAATAAGTATGTATTTCTGCAATAATATTCAATTATAATATTATATCTCATTTTCACTGTTTTAGTAATACTGAATAATAACACTTGATTTATATCATAGCAGTACAAACTCTAAAAATAAAAATGAAAATGCAAAAGGGGAAAAAATATGAAATAATAAAAGTATAAATTAATCTCGTTTACTAAAGCTCCATTTTAGAATTCGTCAGGGGAAAATGAAGTAAAGCTTCATAAAAGTTGATTAATATGTTTCGAAAACGCGTTTCGTTCTTCTGATCTATTTGAGATCAAAACCAAAAAAAGAATCTATGAAATTTTTGTTTAAGACATTAAAATTCATATAAAACCGAACAATTTATTCTCAAATTTACCAGGATTTTCCCTACACACCTTCGAAACACTCGGGAAAACGAATAAAACTAAACATTGTGCTAAACTGACTATTCAAAAAAAAAAAAAAAAAAAAAAAAACCAAACTTTACATTATGTAAAAAAGACCATTCAAAAAAATCAAATTGGTCTAAAATCATTAAATGCAAATCCGAAATTCGAAAGCAAATAAATATAAAGAACAAAACAAATATACTTCAAACCAAATTGTCATTTAAACAACACTCAAAAATTGGATGGTGCCTGATTATGCTAAACTTTTAATGCTAAGAGAATGAAAAACTTTTTATAAAGATTGTCTAAATAATAAAATCAAATCTGAGCCTAATCAGCTAAAAAGTGGAAACCAGTTGGAAACAAAAATTGAAAAAAAAAAATGCAAACTTACTGAAATCTTAGGACAATCTCTAAACGAAAATATACCTAATTTTTCAGATGACCAAACTGTATTCCTGGTAGAATTTAAAGCTGCTCTGTAGAAGCAAAAAATTGTAGTTGTTGGAAAAATATGCGATAAGGTTTAAAGTGTCCAATAGCAGAATTAAGTATTTAAAGATGTGTTCAAAATGTCCTATTCTGTTAAACTTTGTATGCAAGGGTGCCAAATATTGGTTGCGGTCTGTACAAATTATTACACTGATGTGCAAAACTTAAGCAACAGCTGTTCCTTTTGCCATAACTCCATGAGAAATTATCTGAGAGACATGAAATTCAGAAATGAGAGACAGAATTTTGTGTTTAAACAGAGGAAGACCAACAAGCACATGTTACTTAGTATGGGATATGCCCTCCCCTTACTGCAATGGTTGCTTCGCACCGTCTCTCCATACTGAGCACCAGATTGTCCAACAGAACAAGAGGTAAGAGTTCCTCTTCGTCAATCAGCATCTATTTCAGTTGTTTGTTGTTCCCCAGAGGATATAATTGTGCCGCAAGGCATCTCCCAAAGCATCCCACACATGTTCTATGGACCAAGCCATTCGAGTGATATCTTCACTTTTCAGTAGTTTCCAAATAGCAGGAGTTTGGTGTGGCCGTGCATTGTCATCCATAAAACAAAGTCTGCTTGAATGGCACCTCGGATGATGGGATCACATGCACATGGGGAAGGATCACCTGCTGATAACAGCAATCTCTGGTTACAGAACCTCTGTTGAAAACAGGGAGCTCTGTCCTCCAGTGCAGCATAATGCCTCTCCAGACAAGAACTCCAGGACTGTTGTAACAGTCTCTTTCCGTGATGTTACTGGGATGAAATCGTTTCCCGACCTCTCTCCAAATCAACTGGCGTTGAAAATCGCTTGTGGCACTAAAACGACTCTCATCCATAAAAAGGACACGACTCCATTGATGAGATGTTTCGTTTTTGTTCTCCTTGCACCTCTCTAAACAGTGACGCTGATGACTAACTTTCAAAAGAATGCAGCATTCAGGATGGTGGGCAAATAGGCCACCTTTGTGAAGGTGTTCGGACACAGTAAACCACGACACCTGTCGCCCCATTGCTGTACACAGTTGCTGAGCTGTGGTGCTTGCTGACTGGTTTTGAGCTCTTTTCGCCTGCAGGACAATATGTCGGCCATCCACTGCAGTTGTTTTTCTGGAACAGCCACCACCAAGCTTTCTAACTGCTGTACCTATGGTTTGGAAGGCTTCCCAAGGGCACGAAATGACACTTTTGTTGATTCCATACTCTTCAGCCGCACAGGTCACACTACGCTCTCCTCCAGCTTTCCGATCATTCTTCCATGTGAGGAGTCATCCAGGTGATTTCTTCTAGCCATATTTCATGAAAGAACTCACTTGCACTTGCAGCGAATATCTTTAATTGCGACCCCCATCCTTCCTTTTAATGTAGTCTTGAGCGCGCCAACTGCACAAGTTTTGCATTGCGCTCATGTCACCTGTGACGTTTGTTCCTGACATTTGCGTACGCATGACCTTTCTACTGAATTGCGTGTTCATTGTACTGATTGCAAGAACCTCTTTTCTGCAATTTCATGGCTATTTGATTAAAATTTACATTGTTCTTAAGTTTTGCACACCAGTGTACTTACAAGGAGGATGATCATCGACTCGATCGAAAATGGCAGCATAAGAATCTTCTAAAAGATGCTGTCTTCTGTAAAATCTTAAATGAAAACAGTACTGGCTTAAAGTTGAGGAAAAGGAAAAGTATGTTTATAAAAGATAAAAGTCTTCACGTTATCGAGGTACAATACATCTTAATATGTCTGAGTATCTTTTATACTCAGACTAATATTATAGGTATTTGTGTCTACCTATATTAGAGCAATGCTATATGTAAATCTAATATATCCTAATTTGCGCTTTCAAAACATCAAAAACACAATTTGAACTTCGTCAATCAGCCCAGTAAAACGGGAGATGATGAACTGGCTATTTTTCTTTTTTTTTTTTTCCTCTGCACAGCGTACCTCACAGATGTTGTGATAAGCTGACATATTTGCTTTACTGAATTCAAAAAGTAAATAATCCATGTTTTTCATTACATTATTTAAAAAAAATATTATATAATTAGTGCTATTTTTTAATTTACATCTTGAAGATAAGAATTTAAAGCAAACTTTTGACCATTACAGCACCATCAGTTAGTGCATTAATTAAATCTTTTACATTATAAATTTGCATTCGGAGCAATAAATATTTTTGCGTATGTCCAATAGCATATTGACAAGTAAATACATGATGTGAAATTATATTTTCAGTGATATTAATTTATATACTGTCTTTATGCATATACATATATATATGTGTGTGTGTATGTGTATATACATACAATATACATGTATATACAAATATACACATATGTATGTATGTTATTTTGACAGACTGGAATCTGGAGAATGTCAACATTTACATAGTCGCTTGGTATATGTCTGAAATATTTGCTAAATATCCATATTTCTCATTTATACTGCCAAATGTCGACACTCACCATACGCTGATAGTAAATGTTAGATAAAATTTTTTTTTTTTTTATGTTTTTAAGTTAAACTTTATTTTTAAAACATATTATGATGTATGTCAAAATAGGAGAAAGCACATGCAAATAAATGGTTCATTCTAAATGCTAACAGTTCATTCTTAAAACGAACAGTACATTCTAAATGCGAAAAGAAAATAATACCAACAATATTTTTATGTGATTTATTTAATTATTTATGTGATTGATGCTATACATTCTTATTTATTGCAATATCTTAAACTGTTATGGCACTTTGAATTGCAGAAAAGTCCCTTGCTTTTACGACCTCTCTCTATCTGTCTTCTCAGCTTAGTTTCGATTTCCACCAGGGCATATCTATATTTATTGACATACACCGTTGATAGTCTGAATGTATGATAATATAAACAAATATTCAGTCTTTCACCAATGTGTTTGGTATGTGTTGAGATTCACTGGAGAATGTCGACACAATCCAATTTTGGTCTTTCATAGTAACATATATATATATATATATATAATTTATTTCCTAAACAGTACAGATTTACTAATCTTTATGCAATTCCCAAATTCCATAAACACACATTAAAATTTAGATTTATAGCTAATGGAACTAATAATTACAAGAAAAATATAGACTATTATTTTTCAATTCAACTTAATAAAATCTGTAAATTTATTTTCAATGATTGTAACACTAATCATAACTATTGCTGGATCATTCATAATAACACTCCTGTCATTAATACCATTCATACCATTAACATCCAAAACATTAACTGCTATGATTTTGAAAACTTATATACCTCACTTCCTCTAGAAGAAATCTATACCAGTCTACTTGATCTACCAAAACTTTTCCCTAATATACTCAATATCATGACTCTTGACAAATGGAAAACCTACCTAAAATGCACACTTTTTCATAACTACATCAAGTTTCAAAATCAACTTTTTAAACAAGTCAGAGGATTGCCAATGGGCTTACATTCCAGCACCTCGATCTGTAATATCTTTTTATTTGTCAAAGAATTTAACTTCCAAAAAATCTACAACCACAAGAGTTAAATTACTACAAACACACCTACAGATATATTGATGACCTTATTACAATTAATAATTTTGGTAAAATTGAAAACTCCGACATTTATCCGAATTGTCTTAAACTTAATAAAACTAATAATTCACAAAATAGCATAGACTTTCTAGATCTTCAAATCATTAACTACAAAAAAATTTTACTTTTTGACAAAACAAGAAACTTCAATTTCAATACTAACAAATTAATAAATTGGAACTACAACATATCCAAAAAAGTAATTAACAATACTATAATTAATTAATCAAATACAACGAATTAAAACTATATGCACAGATATAATAGATTTACAACGCGAAATTTTGATCCTTATCAAAATTCTCAAAAATAATCTAATTCCCTTTCAATTTATCAACCATTGCCTTAAAAGAGCAGGCGTTAAATACTCACTCTAAATTATTTAACTGATAGGGATATGATAATTTATTCCTAAACCTGAGAAGGCGGTATAAGTTGGATGACTGTCAGTTGAAAGATTTGTATATAGTGTAATTACTCAATTGTATATATTGTAAAAAGCTAATTGTCTTCAGACATATACTGTTACTAAAAAAATGGGCCTATTTCCTGCCTTTAGACTGTCTACTAGCTCTTGGACAATGAAAATGCCTTTTTCCTTTCTTAAATTCTTAATCATTGCGACACGACAATTAGCCAGAAATTAATTAATTTCCATTCACTAGTATTTTCGAAAAAAATCTTAACAGAGACGGTCTCCTCTCAGATAAGAACTCCACAAAATACATCCCTCAAGAATTCCAAGTCCCACCCACTGCCATAAATTACTTCACCCAAGTCTTACCGACTGATATTATTCAAAGCCCCTACTGCCGCTAAGAATTTTCGGACACCCTACAATTCTGAGTCAGACACGAAGAGAACACATTGCCAACTCCCCCACTAGAAAGAATGTAAGTTACTTAATACCTTTCTGGCCTTTATATCTTCATGTACATTCACTGATCTTATTTATATTATTTTTCTATATTTTTTTTATTATTTTTATTTTTATGTTTCTTTGATTTGTTTTTACAAAAGTTTGCATTATTTATCTTTTTTATAATCTTCTATGTTTATTTCAACTTTACTTTGATTTCGATTTCATAATGACAATTTCCAATGTTTAATTTCTACAAATAATATAGTACTCAAATACATAAAGATGATAGTGTCGGGGACGGTTTACTCGAGTTTTACAGGATTTCTCTACAGTAATTGATTTTTTTACTCCAAATTGAATTGACTAAAATGCTTCATGAGAATAAGTTCTTTGAGTAGCAACTATTCGCGGAAATATTTGGCCTGACTAGAATTGCCGGTTTGGCTTTAACTTATAACTCGAGTAAAGACGAAACACTTTCATATTTACGTATTTTTATCAATTATTGTTCATTGAACGGGAGTTGGTTTGTTCCCCTTGAAAAGTCAACTAATTTCCGATCAATGACAATAATTACATGTTTTAATTTTTCCTTTTACAATTGTAATATTATTCTTCGTGATGATTTAACTCCAGTCCCCGTTAAAACATTATTAACATTTTGCTTTCAAATTACTTCAAAACATCTTTCAAAATATAACTTACCAGTATGGATGCACACTTTTAAAATAATTCTACTTTAATTAAACTTAGGAGATAATATAATCAATTAATCTTTCAAAATATAACTTACCAGTATGGATGCACACTTTTAAAATAATTCTACTTTAATTACACTTAGGATATATATATATATATATTATATATAAAATTTTTTTTATAGAAGTCAGCAGACATTATATCCAGAGTGTCTTAAACAGTCAGTTCATACTCAGACTGGTAAGTTGATATATACTTTATAAAATGCATTACATTTCAGTATCGTAATTTACTCTTATACTTATTTTTACTATTTTTGGATAAATTGTTTATGAATTAGTAATGTATGTTTCATGTATATATATCTGTGTACACATACACGTGTGTATATGTGTTTATGTATACACACAAACACATATTTAAATTAACCAGTTGGAAGCCTGTGTTCTGATACTGGGTATCATGAGAAATTTCAGATACACAAAAGGTTACAAGAGCCAAAAAGCTTTGGGAACCACCATTTTAACTCATTTTTCAATAACTGGGAAAATGATGTCAGTCACTTCCCCCCTCCAATCAACTCCTTGTGTTTCATTTTATTAATGAAGACTGAGATGTAGTCATTGAAAGAAATAAAAACAATGCATATTGGCATTTTTAATTTTACTTAATATACTTAAATCATGAATATGCATGAGTCTCGGAATTGATTTAAAAGTGACACATGAAACTTGTGCAGAAAAGTCAATAAAGATTTAAGTTTATTTTTAATATTTTCTCATAAAATATTTTATTTAATCTGGAGGGAGAAAGACATTTTTATTTTTATATCATTTTTATTTTGTTTTGAAATAGCTACTAGTTCAATTCTGATTAAATATAGAATTATAACTCAGTTTTCTTCCCAAAATGCATATGATGTATATTAATACTCTTAGATGAAATAGATATTTTAGGAAAAGTAAATTGCAAAAAATCCTTCTTAAACTTTGCCAGTAGATAACATTTCATGAAATAGAATTTGATTTCCATTTTAAATTCAGCTTTCACAGTAAAGATCTTAGGATACTAGCAGTGAAAAGGAAGAATGTAAGAAAATTCAGGTTATTGCATTATACAGAGTATTGTTACAGACACTGAGGAGAGGTATGGTACATCAAAAGGATTGAGAAATCCATAATTGGAAACATCATAGGAACGTGATACCAGAGATACAAGAAAAGAAGAGAAGAGAAGATTACCAAAAATATTTATTGCTCATAAATATTACATATGGTATAGTAGGTCATTTCAAAATGTTACAAAAGATGTTCAAAGTTTCCACCATTACAAGCAATGCATGCATCACATGACAGATCATGGATTGCAGCTGGATTTGCTCAGATGTCTGCAGTAGTGCTGACAATTCTTTCAACCAGATCCATTTCAAACTTGTTAGTTGTTTCATATACAACAGCTTTAAGTGCTTCCTAAAGAAAGATATCCAGGCTGCTCAAATCTTGAGAGTGTGGAGCCAGACAACCGATGTACCATGCCCAATCCATCAATCACCAAATGACACACTCAGATGTCTTTGAACGGTTTTTCCATAATGGGGAGGTACCATATCATGTTGAAACCACTTGTTGCATCTCACAATCTCGCAGTTTTGTGGCACAGGATTGAGTAAACCTTGTACCACTTGTTCCAAGAAAGATGCAATAATTTGCTGATGCTTGGTGATGGCAACAGGAACAGCCCATCTAAACAGTTGCTGATCAAACCAGTCCAAACATTCACCAAGATGTGATAATGGGTATCATGCAGTCTCACTTTGTAGGGATTCCCATGTGTCCATTAATGACGCACCATATTCTGTGAAAGGCACCTCATCAGTAAACAAAATATAATATGAGAAAAGAGCATCTTGAACACATTGAGGGAGATACCACTGTGCTAAATGCATGTTGCAGGATGATCTGTGGAGAGCAGTGAATGTACCTTTTGGAGATGATATAGGTATCAGGATCAGGATTTGGCTTATGAAATGTAATGTATGTTATTCTGTGATCTTTCTATGGCAGTAGTGACAGCATGTATGCTGGTACTCGGATTCATTTGTATGTTATCCAACATATTATATTCCATGGAAGGCATATGAGTTTCTTGTTAAGCATATGACTTCCATGCAAGACATATAAGTTCTCTTCTTACTTCATAAGTATGCCTATCTCTTAAAGACCCATATTCACACAAATTGTGATGCACATTCAAAAAGAAATGGTGGTCTGGTAAATCTTTATGTAGGAATTGTTCTCCAAATAGTCGTTGAGCTGCTTGTGTATTGCCGTTAACCAGCTGCTTGTGCTTGTTCACTAAAGATATATCTGCCAGATCCCTGCTTGTATAATGTTGCATGCTCATTTTAAGCTACTGCTTGAATGATAAGAAATTGAATAGGTCCCCTCGACCACCGTCATGAACAAACAGCATCATCTAACAAGATACAATGACTGTCATGACTCAAGAAATTCTATATTTCAAATGGGAGAGCATTAATGTTGTTTTCATAATTCAAGAACACTAGAATGATGGGAATAATCACCAATGTAATTTATAATCCAAGGTAATTAATTGAACAGCACAAAATATTTTATTGAAGAAACACAACATATTTATATAATGTCTGCATCTAGCAGTGGCCATGAAAATCATAAGCAGTATTTCAAACTTCAAGGTTCAAGTTTAATTCTACAAGAACATTTAGTTCAAAATGTTAATATTTAAACCATTAAATTTAAACAAGCTTTCCAAAAGTGTTCACCAATGAAATCACATAGAAAAACAAACATATATACAAGAAATTTAAATTCAGATAACAATACTAAATTTAGCACAAGAAATTACAAGTAAAATTCTTCAGAGTGCAAAACAAATAGTAAAAACTAATGAAACTGCTAAATTTCCATAAATCTGTCATTGTTAATCCGTACTCTAAATGCGGAACATAACACTAGATTAGTAACAGTAAAGGAAAAAAATGAATACATAATTTTAGTTTTATTCACTCAATGATAATAGGGAAGGTTTATGAAGAGGATGCTTCATTTCACCAATGAAGTTTTTAGTTTCACAACATGAACTTTTCCTTAGGCTTCTTTATATAGTTCAATTATTTGTCCAGACCAACATTCATCAGAAAAATGTTTTTAGAAGCTGTGAAAAATTTGCTGAGTCAAGTTTCATCTTTCAGCAGGAGGAGTTAGTTTATTTTATTAGTAAGATCAGATTCAGGAATTGCTGTTAACATAGTTCCAATTAGGAAATAACCAGGCTTTAAAGGACTAAAATCTTCAGGGTCAGATGAAATGGAAACTACTGGCCTGGACTTCAGATATGCCTTTATTTGAGTAACTAGGGTGTAAAACTCTTCATGAGTTAAAATCTATGTTGCAATAGTCTGCTTTAAGTGAATTTTCATTTGCTTCACACCAGCTTCCCAGAGGCTGCCAAAGTGAGGTGCCGTAAGAGAGGTGAAGGGTTAGTGAATCAGTTTATCAATTAGGTAGTTTTGAAATGCTTCTTCAGAAGAACATTTAGTCATGTATTTTTTCAATTCATGGTCAGCACCAACAAAGTTGATTCCTCTATCTGAAAAGATCTTGGGTTTTCCTTTGCATGTCACAAATCTTTTCAGAGATGCTATAAATGCTTCGGTTCTTAGATTGCTGACTACTTCTAGATGAATGGTTTTTGTGGTGAAGTTTATGTAAAGGTAAATGTAACATTTATATGTATTTCCACTTTTTCCCTTTCTGCCCTTAATCAGAAAGGGTCCTTCAAAATCAAGTCCTGTATTCTAGAATGCTCTATCCGGCATTACACAAGAAGCTGGGAGATTGGCCATTATCTGACTGGTGGTAGTGGTTCAATTTTTAAAACATTTTATACATTTTCAAATTATATTTCTTACAATTTGTCAGCTGTTAACGATACAATATTTTTTGTCGTAGAACTGATAATGTTAATAGAGGTTCTCTTTGTAAAAGTGTCTGACTATCAATTCAGTAACCTGGTATTTTTTGGGGAAGAATGATTGGATACTTTCTGTTTTTCGAAAGATTCGAATTCCTGACTCTACCACCGACTCTGAGGATTTGTTTTGTGTCAAGAAAAGGATTTAATATCAGGATTTTACTGTTTTGATTCAATTTTCCCCTGCTTTCAAAAGTTTAATTTTTTCTCTAAATTCGGAATTTTGAATAATTTAAAAAGTCAAATTGCTTGCCTCTTGAATTGTTAACAAACCCAAGTTTCAAAGATGTAGATTTACTGTTGTTGCAAAACTTTAAACATAATGCAGTTACACGCTTCAATTTTTGCTAAGATAAAAACCTGGAAATCAACTCATATTCAATCTCTTGGCTAGTAACAGAACATACAACACTTTGATGCTTTCTACCAATACCTCTTCTATCATAGGCTCAATCAAAAGATGATGAAGGTAGATTTTTCTATTTTAACCATGGACCATAGAACTGAAGTTTATTTCCCAATAGATCAAAAGCTGTTAATCCACGTGAGAGTATGTCAGCTGGATTTTCATTTCCTTTACAGTATTTTCATTGTGAAGGTGTAACAAGATCTTGTATTTCACATACATGATTTGCAATGAAGAGCTTCCATTTATTCATTGTGCCTCTGATCCAGTGAAGAACAATTTGTAAATCACTGAAACAAAATATATTATCTTCTTGGATACCAAACAATTATACAATTGAAAATAACTTCAGTTTCAAAGTACCAAGTTTTAAATTTTTCACTGAAGTCACTCGGCACGCGACAAGAGCACCAGAAGAGGCAAGGTTGATTTTTTTATGTGGTGATACACAGCTCTTTGAGAGCACAAAAGATGATGAGCAAGAATCAGAATCATGAAAATATGCAATAGTCCCATATCCTCATCGCAAAACACATAAAATTCTGTTCTGCCGAAATTTACACATTCATCATTTAACATATGTTTTCTAGGAATGCACAAATTGAAAATAACTTCAGTTTCAAAGTACCAAGTTTTAAATTTTTCACTGAAGTCACTCGGCACGCGACAAGAGCACCATCTATCTACTAAGGGCAGAACAATGTCATGTGTTGCTATGCAATTCTCAATCCTTTTGACCATGTCCTTAAAAGCCTGTTTTTTCTGCCCTTGAAGTTTGTACCAGAATGTTTATGGGGCAGCCTTAGTGGCGTAGCTAGGGTGGGGTAAGGGGAGACATCTGTACCTGGGCGCAGCATCCAGGGAGTGCCAAATTGATGTTACGAAATGTTAGAATGAAGGGTTTTCTATTCTTGGCACTCAGAAAGAGGCGCAAAATCTTCAGTTGTCCCCAGGTGCTGAAAACCTTAGCTACGCCTCTGGGCAGCCTGTATAATTTTTATCTTGATTTGTTATTTAGTTTTTATCTTTACAATTTACCTTTGATAGATAATAGGCTCAAAAAGTACAATAGTATAATCAGTATTAATGAACTAAAGAAACAATTATAGGGTAACAAACAAAATGGTTAGAAAAAAGGAATCTGAATTTTAGATGAATTAAATTTACTATTTTATTCTGTAGTTTTCTGTTGCTGAAATAAATTGTTGACTAGATTTTTGAATTCTGATTTTGCCTGAAGGCGAAATAATATGCATACTCAGAATGATATGGTAAAAAAGGATCCCTTCTCAAAAAAAAGAATGTGAGAGAAAAATGTCTAAATAATATGAAGAAGAAACTGGGGTATTTTGAGATTTTGAAAAATTGATTGTATAAGTGAAGCAATATGTTATTTAATGGGCAATATAATACGATTAACTGTATTTATTAAATAATAAAATTTTGGGATAAAAAATGGAATTTATAATTATTAATGTGATTATTATTATTTAGATATTAAAGAATTAAGGGAATCAGAGGAAGTGGATAAGAATATGATACAGAATTTGATTGAAGAAATTTTGCAAACTATGCAGTTTCAATCCAATTTACTGGAGTGTTCTTCTGATAAAATCAAAAGGAAAGCCGGTATTATAGAAACAGTGAGTATTGCTAATGATAATGAAATCTTTATAAATGTCTTATTAGTTATTTGTTTCTAAGCTTTATTAATCGTTATATGTTTTAATACTATACTTATCATTCTTAAAAAATTATGTTTTGTTTCTTTTAAGTTTATATATTAGTATGATCTCTCTATGTATAGGAATAGTATAATGATGTTACTGTTTGTTTAATGGGTCCACAAAGGTCATCACAAAAAGACTAGGCCAGATGAACAAGAAGATAAAATTTTATTTGGAAAAAACTTGCTCTTACAGGCAAGATAGATGGCTGTAAACAAGGCAATGAGGAAAACACAAATAAGATCAAATTCTCCTTGACATGCAAGTAATATCACAGGTCACCAAAATTGCTTGCAGAACAAAAACTAGAAAAAGTAATCATTGAATAAAAGGTCAAGAGTCTAAAACATGTTAAGAAATTTGCTCCAACTGACTATTTCTGAACTCACTGACTGCTTATCGTCTCAAATTTATATGGTTGCTCAAGGAAAGGAGGTAACATGTCTGAAAGCTTAAAAAAAAAATCATTCCAGATTAACATCAGTAAATTCAAAATAAAAGTTCTATAACCTAATTCATCAAATAAGCACATACAAATACAGTAAAAGATCATAAATGCAAATTAAACAAAATATGCATAACTACAGCAAAAAAAAAAAAAAAAAAAAAAAAAAAGTAAGTGAATAAATAAAACAAGTACACAATAACACAAAAATATGTAAAAGCCTAATTATAAATGGTTAAAAAGTGTTTTATGAAAAAATACATTTTAATACATACAAAAATTTCTCCCTTTGGTGAAATTTTTAACCTTCTCAGTAGCTGCGTTTAAGGTTATGTACTTGTCATTCACAAGCATTTCCGGAATTTAACCCTTCATCTTTTCTTAGAAACTGAGTAACCGGGCTTCCCAGGCCCGAGGCGTGCGCTCACATTGTCATTTAAAATTGTGAAAGAGATTAGGCAGTTGCAAAAAAAGTCTTGCTGTTTGAGTTATGACGATGGAATGAAAACACTACAGAAACTATTAGCCAAAGTGTCTACTGATGAAGATACAATTAATGAAGAGGACGAAGAAATAGTTGGTGAAGAACAGTTTAGTGATCACCGATCGAATTCTGAAGAGGCATTAGACTCAAGCGATGAATCTAGTAATGAATTAAGTAATTTTGTCTCCGTCAGCGAATTGCTATCTTTTCAAATATAATGTGACAAAATGGAATAAAAAAGAACCAAGACTTGCTGTGAGAACTCTTGCTCACAACATTGTGAGGAAATTGCTCGGAAATGTTTGTGAAGCAAAATTTATGTCCTTCCCTATGAATTCTTGTCAACTGCTTATTGATAAAATAATAGTAAAAATTCTAGTAGATTGTGCAAACATTTATATTGAATCCATTGCCGTCAAATTTGGAAGGTAGAGAGATGCACAATCCACAAATATTACAGAAATCAGAGCATTTATCGGTCTTCTTTTATTTTGGAGGACTCCACAAAGCTTCTCACGTAAATGTTCTCGACCTTTGGGTGACTAATAGAACAATTCTTGACATTTTTCATTAAACAATGTCTAACAAAAGTTTTTTATTTCTAATGAGATGTTTGAGATTTGATGACATAAGAGATCGCTTTTTTAGAAGGGAAATAAATAAACTGGCTCCGATAAGATATGCCTTTGAAAAGTTTGTTGAAAATTGCAAAAAAAGTTTACAGTCTTGGCGTAACGTACCGAAAATCACAAATTTGCTGCGCTATGTGCGAGAAAAATGTTTGTGGTAAACACAGCATGATTATTTGCAAAAAAATGTGAAATGTAAGTTTTTATTTTGAAAAAAATTTAATATTGCATAAATTAGTACTAAATTTTATTTGTGCTCAAAAAGAAATCAGTTTAATTTTTGTTGTTAATGATAAATAATTTGTCTTAAAATTGTTTTAAAATACAACTTTATTAGACTTATTAAATTAAAAGTATATTTTATACACTCTTTTTTATTATTTAAATGTTTTTCTTCACACAAGCAATTTTATTTTATTTAGGCATTAGACACAATTACACAACCAATTTTATTTTTGTTTAGTTAAAAAAAACGCTTCGGGCCTATGGAGCCCGAAGTGCATCCTCACGTAGCTAAAATCAACGTGCGTTTTCGCTGGTTAAATTAGTTTTGTTGAAGAAAATATACTAGACATTCATTTTATGCTTTAAAAATCCCTAAACTAAAAACTACAGAAACATAATGAAATACAGTGAACCATCTTATGATGATAATATCCCTGTAAAATAAATATCAGTATTAAATATCACCTCTCTGAGATGACCACATCCACTGGTGCAGAGGGATATCTGTCCCTGTACACAGCATCCACAGTGCATTTTCTTTCCTTTTCCTATTGCATTTTGGCAAACAGGAGGGGGGTAAAATCTTCAATTGTCCCCATGCTCTGAAAACCCTAGCTATACCTATGATTATGGGTAGTCCTTTCAAAGATCTCTTGTAACTAAAAAATGATAACAATTAAAATGGATCAAAAGCAACCATGAGAACAATTTTATGTTGATCGGGAGCAGAAAATTTAGTAAATTAGTATCAAAATAAGTTTATGTAAATATTTTACAAACCTCCTCCCCCCCCCCCCAATAATCAAGTTGTAGAGTCTCTTTAGAATTTTTTGAAACCAGAAAACTGAAGAAATCTGCAATGTGATTTTTCAGGATTCAAACTGTGAGGCTCTTCAATTACATATAGAGCATGCCTCCAATTACATCATGAAGGTATGCTGAAAGGGAAAGGAAATAGCTTATAATGTAGAAATCAAACTTATAAAAAATTCTCTTCAATGTTATTTTCAGTATTTTAGTTCAGAACTGTCATTTCAAGTTTATAGTTAGTGCTTAAATATTTTAGTATAATATGAGATTTCATAAAGAAATAATATTAAACGGCATTGGTAAAAATAAAGATTTAAGTAAAGATTTTGAAGTAATTTACATAGAAACAGTATATTTGCATTGTATTTTCATATCTGAAAACCATCCTTTATTTTTTCATATGCAGTGAACTTTTTTTAATTGTTTTTTATATGCATAAGTTGGCATGTTGCTCTTTTTGAGGGAACCTTTCTACCATATAATAATGGAATGATCTGTTTTGTCGTATAAAGGTAAATGAATTAATAGATTTCTTTACCTATTGTTATAAAAAATATCTACAAAACTCCCTTGCTTAATGTAGGTAATTACTTCATTAAAATTATCATGAAACTGACTTTTTTTTTTTTTTTTTTTTTTTTTTTATATATATATATATATATATATATATAATACTTTTCCTTATAGCAGCTTAGTGCAATGTCAGGCATGTAGTGAGCTTGAATACTTCTTTCTTGATCTGGATCCATAATTTGTGTTTCAACTCTTCAGCAGTGTGAAACATTTTCTATAACTTCTGTAAAGATTTTCTTCTTTAGCAATTTGCCATTGTTAAATTCATTTACTTGTTGCTGATCCATATTAATGAAAACATTATTACTGATATCTTGATAACATGAGTTGAAAAATTCCTAAGCCTATGTCAAATTTACTTCATTGAAATCTAGTTCATTCTAGTGCTGCAATTTCATCAGTAGCTGTGACCGTTTGCGTTCTTCCCACTCAACTCTCATCTTGATTGATATCAGTCTTCCCACCTCTCTAATATATGCATTTGAACATTATATGTTGAATTACTTTCAGAATTGAACTAAAGAATCTGGGTTATCACTCATATTATTTTGTATTGTTTGTTCAAAAGTCACTTTTAGATGAAACCTTGAAAATCAAAAAGATGCCAAGAACCATAGATTATTATATAAAATGTATCTCTTAATTACTTTGTAATATAATTTCAATAGCATGTATTGTTCACTTATAACGTCTATAAAAATATTATCTGACCATGTTAAGTGAAATTCACTGTGAGTTGAGTAAATGCAGCTTATCATTTCTTGAGAATATTAGCACAATTTTTTTGCCCTTTTGTGATTTTTAATGTATTCTTTTATTAGGAAAGGGAAAGCATATCATTTGAAATGCTTGATAAATCTGTGTCAGTCAATTGCAGTTCTCCAACCTTTATAAAGTAAGAAAATTATGAATAAAGTTTTTTATTTATTTTGTTTATATTTATTTTGGATGTATTCCTATTTTAATACTGCTTGTTTTATTGAACTTCTGCTTATTTAAATACATTACAGCTAAATTGTGAGCATTTTTAAACTGTGCTTTATAGCATCTTTAAAGTTAGATTTGTCGCATTTTTATAATTTATTAGTATATTAAAAATAACTTTCAAAATTTCTTATATCTATTTTGATTTCTTCTACAATCATTAAGCAAAATTAATTTGCAGGTATGTGCTATTTTCTTTAAAAGAAAAATTTGCCTAAAAGTATGCATATTATTTAGATTGTATGCTTGTCTTTGAATTGTAGCTTCTTGTCAGTACATGTTTTTATACTCTTTTTCAAAAGAATGACTTGAATGTTTGCAAAAAAATTGCTTTGAAATTGTGGGCACATTAATCTATACAAAAATGGAAGATAAACATATTGCCTTTGTAGAATTCCACCCCCTTTCAAAAAAATTCTGAAAACAGTAATAAATTCTAAGCAAAAATTTTTAAAGCTCTTAATTAACATACTTAAGAGTACTCTTAAGTATGTGAGCTCACATACTTAAGAGTGGCTAAATAGAGATTAGCTCTAAACAGTACCTACTCTATATTCTTAAGCAGTGTATTTACAAAATTTTAAGACTATGTTTTTTCAACCTAAACTAAGGGTAAATGGTTAGAAAGGCAATTGACACATTTTAACTTAATTTCTTGAAATTAATGCATGCTTATAAAAAGAACTTGAAACTGATTTTATGTTTGAATTAAAACCAGTATATATTCTAGATTCAAAAGCCTAATACTAATCTGAAGCAATACAGGTTTCTTAGTGCTATGCTATTATCATCAAGCAGTTTGCAAAAAAGTGTTTAAACTGTGCTCAGTCATACCTTGTTTATTCACCAGACTAGGTATTTGCAGTTTATTTCCTTTCCCCTAAATTGAAATCGTACATTATGGACCTCAGTAGTTTCATCTCTTTTTTAGGAATATTATATAATGGTTTTGTTAGGCAAAATAAATATAAGCTAAAAAAAATTGGGAGGTTGTTAATTTTTTTTTAATTTAATTTTTTGAAGAAAAACTTGACTATTAAAATATCTTCTCTTACAATTTTCAATATTTTATCCCAATGTTTTTATTATATTTATTGAAATGTTCTTAATAACATTAAGGATTGATTTTGCAGCTAGCAAATTAGTTTCTGAAGAAAAATAAATAAGCATATTTATATATAAAAACTTTGAAGAAAAATATGATTCAATTACATTTTCAATTCCAATAATTTTTACTTCCGATATGTTGAAAACCTATCATTGTTTCTGTTAAGTGCATAGTAATAAACAAGCAGTAAAAATATTAAATAATTTAGCCCATATTTGTTTAAGTTTTAGGACTTTAAGTGAAAGGATTTATCGAAAAAATGCAAACTGAGAAAGTGCAGTTTAAAGAATGTTAACTCTCTAAATGGTCATTAAATATATATATATATATATATATATGAAGTAGAACCATTACTATTCAATTGTGAATATAAACTAAGTTATAAACTTTATTTTGAATTTTAGTATGTATATATCTAAACTAAAACTCTTACTATTCAATTGGTGAATCTAAACATAAATTACAAACTTTTATTTGAACTATTATCTGACCTGAAAAACTCTAAGAAAAATTAGAATACAATAGAATTCTTCCCTGTTTTGTTTTGTAAAACACATGCAAAACAATTTAAAATATGAATTAATTATAATATATTTTCTAAAACTCATATAATCAATATTAATAGTATTAATTTTCATATTATTTATTTTTTCAAAAAAGTAAAATTTGAACGGATATGAAATATTTTATTTAAAACTTCCCAGCATCTATGAGATTTCTTCTCTTCTTTTAGCAATTTGTTCTCATATATAAATTGCATTTTAAATTGATTTAGGAATATTTTAATTAATTATTTTTACTGCTTGTTTATTACTATTGAGTTTAATGTTTCTTCGTGCATGATTTTCAATAATGCTACAATCAGGCACTTGGTCACTTTCATAATGAAACGTCTTTCTATTTTTGTCTGTCACAAATAATATCCATTTCTGAAGAAGCATAACAAAATTGGCTGATAATACACATAGGAAGATTTGCTGAGATGAGTAAAAAAAAGGGGGGGACTCTGTAAGTTCAAAAGTGAAAAAAAGTTTTTTTTTTTTAAACTTCTGTCAGTAAAGTCAATGAGTTAATACGTATAAACAGAATGTACTGATAGTTGCAGTCACATCTAAATATATTCGTTTTCTTCTACACTGGTTCTTAATAAATAACTGATGCAGTTAAGAAGCAAAAGAAAACAGGCACTGAGGTGGGTGTGGCCTAAAAGGCTTGCCTTTGTATGCCATTTATTATTATCAGGTCACTGTAAAATTTCTTCTCAAGGTAGTAAGGAAATTAAGATATATCTTAAGCAAAAAATTGGAAAATAAGTAATTTAATCGATTTTGGGGTACCAAGTCCATTTAAAGACTCCATTTTGAAATAATTCCTGAAATTCAGGAACACTTAGTAGAGAATTGAAAAGTGTGCATTATTGTGTTAAAAATCAAGAAATTGGCTAGATTTTATATTGTATTACATAATGCTGGGTTTTCTTATCTTAAATTAAGAGTAAGTTGCACTCTGTAGGCAGTACTAGATTAAAGAACATGTAATATAAATGGCTTTTCTGGGCTAGGCCAAATAGAATGCCAAATGTATCAAAAGGTTAATTGAAATAAATTATTTTGGTGATGCTAATACTATATAAAGGCATTGGAAATGCTTTCAATCTGGAATATAAAAATATCATTGTCTTCAAGTAAGGATGAAAAATAGAGAATTAAGATATGATACCTGCATATAAAGAAGAATAAAGAAAATAAATGTTTATTGTGGGATATTATAGGTAGGCTTTCCAGTGATGGACTACCATACATGCTTCTTTATTCAGAAATTTATCATACAGGTAGAGCAATTTATTACTAATGATAAGTAGAGAATTTTAAAAACTAACTGGAAAATGATATTAAAATATTCTTGATGTAGGACAACATCGTGTTAAACAATATTTTGAAAATATATATATATAATTACCAGTGCCTATTGATATTCCTTAAATTCAATATATTGTTGTTATCATTTTTTTATAACAGAATTCGCATTTTTAAAATAGTATCAATAAAAAGTTTTTAAGTGGCTCATACTATTCTGTTCTTTATTGATGGAAATAAAGAAATATATTTTTTATTTTTTGAAAAATTTTACATGTTCGAAATATGCTTACAATGAAAGTACGTTTTTTCACTGGAAGTGACAGGTTGTTGCATACATATTTGCAAAGAGAATTGTTTGACACATGTTCTGTTATGATGAAAAAATCCAAAGCTTACAAATAGGTAATATTTTATATCTTTTGGTATAGAGATGTTAAAAAAAGATATTACTTTGCTTAGGTTTCAGCTATGAACCTGATCATTTTCATTTTGGAATACATATATTAAGTTATATTTTTATATTTAAGAATTTATTTAAAGATTATGTAGATATATGCAGGTATCATAAATAGCATGCTTGTGTAATTGTAATAAAATATTATTTACAGATTTGGCATTAAAACTCGTTAGAATAACTTTTATAATATTTTTACCCTTTTTCTTTTTCCCAAGGGAAAATTCTTTGCATATAGAAAGAAAATCGATGTGTACACAAACAGGTAATAAATCTTCAGCTTATTTGTTATTTAGTTTTCTGATATGTGCATTATAAAAGCTCTCTTAATTACAGTTTTCTTTATCAATTCTGTACATACCTGTATTTATAGCAACAACTTATCTTTCGTGTTATTACAATGTGCTCAGTTATGTGAAGTGTGTATATAAGTATTCTCTTCTATTCAAAATGGTTTTATTTGATTCTTATGTACTTGAAAGTTGTTAAAATGAATAAAGTGCATCTAATCAGAAGATACAATTTGAGATTACATCTTAAAAGAATTCATTTTTAGTTGCTGGATCTAGAATCTCTGTTTTTTATTTCTTAAAATCAGCTTATGCATATAATTCTTTGAAAAGAAGAGTTGATTGTGTTTTCATACAGAAAATAAACTTTCACTTTTTTAAAAATAATATGTACATGATATTCATATTTGTATAGCAATTTCCTTTGTTAAATTTCTTTAGAGAAGTTTTGCTCTTGTTTAAAGTATGTATGTAAGATCGTAACTTTTTAATTTTTAGTCTCTTGTTTTGCCACTACTGATGCAGCTTCGTCTTTTCCTCTATCAAGCTACACTCAAGACTGATGCAGTCACACCAGTTGGTAGAATTTGAGGGTATCAAAACTTTTAGAATTTGTGAAGAAACTAGGTGGCAGAATTTGCATTGAGTGGCAAAAGGCCTAATGCCAGTCTTGACTTCTGAACAAAGGGCCAATATAATTATGCGAGGCATTAGATGAAATTTTCACTTCCCTAAATAAGTTATATGCTTGATATTTATGGATATTAAGTTCCTTTCTTAAATTTTTAAGGAAATTATTCCTCTTGTTAAAAATATATGGGTCATAGATATATGAGAATCCCAGTTTTTCACCCTGCCTCTCGGCTTTTAATTTGTAGCCAGACACGTCTCCATTTCTTCACCTGTCAAACTACAGAATGAATGGCCAATGTGACCATGCCAGGCTTTGAAAATGAATCCACATTTATGCTGCTAAAATGAAGTGAAGGGATGGTAAACTAACCAATTTGAAGTAATTTTTTTTTCCTGCATTTGCATGCATGTGATCTGCCATTTTAAATTTGCAGTTAGTTGTTAACTAATTAATTGTCAGTAGTTATTAATTTTATTTTCATGGTATTCAAAAGCATTTAGATAAATAAAAGCTTCTCTTCCTTCTTAAGGATCTTGTCAGTATAAAAGATTATAAAAATTGCAGAATGAAATGAGATTGGTGAAAAAGCATAAAAATTTAGAATTTCAAGTTAAATAATAATATATTTTACTTAAGAACCATATTATAAATAGTTCGGTAACCTAAATTCTACATTATAAAGCAAATTTAAATCAATTTGCAATCTTGAAATCACGTCACCTCACAGCTTGATAATTTTCCACTTTTTTCTGATTTTGATGCGGAAATCTCAAATTTAAAGGCTGGTAGTTATGGTATATTTGAAGTTTTGAAACAGTAATGAGAATATTATTTTAATAAATATTGTAATGTGCCATAAGTCCAATGTATTAATGTATTAACGGATCTTGGTTTAATATATTCCATTTCAGCAATGCTGCTGCAGTTCAGCATATTTTAAAACTCAAAGATGCTGTTTTATGCTTTTGACATAACTTTGTTGCATTGCTTTCTTTTATTACATTTGTATATTATATTTTACCATACCTCCAGTTTTAAGTGTTGTAGAAAAGATTCAGGGAGTGATGGAGGGAATTTAAACTTTTGAAGCAAGAAATTTTTGAAAGCAAGGATGACCTCGCAATAACATGAGATAGTCACTAAGTTTTTTACATTATATTAGTATCAGGATCAGCAGTTGTTTCTATATTTTTTAAAAGAAAGCAGGGTTAATCAAGAGGGAATTTTATATGAGAAGTATAATTCTCAAATCGCATTTAAATCTAAAAAATGAACGTCAGATGATTTTAGGCATGTTTCTAAGAAAATTATGCCAGAGATGGAATGTATGGCAGTCAGAAGTAATTTTGGCATGTGTTATGATTCTATAGCATCAAGTTGAAGATTCTAAAAGTCTGTTTGATCTTTTATATCTTCTCTAAATCTTGCAAGGAGCAAAATGTTAATGGCTTTAACAAATTTCTCAAAATTATAAGGAACATAAATTAGGCAGAATTGAAAATTTCCATGTAAATTTATCATCAATTTTGTCGATCAATTCAAAACACCTTTTCTGCCCCCCTCCCTTTTTTTAAAATTCTGTTTCCATTTTTAACTTATACATGTATTTTCTAGAAACAACTGCAGATCCTGATACTAATGTAATGTAAACAACTTACTATCTCATGTTATTGCGAAATCATCCTTGCTTTCAAAAATTTCTTCCTCCAAAAGTTTAAATTCCCCTCCAGCACTCCCTGAATCTTTTCTACAACACTTAACCTGTGTTTTCTTTCACTTTTACTGCATAAAATGCTTCTTATATTTAATATGTCGCCAAGCCAAAAATATTGCCAGGAGGGTCCTATATCCAAGCTGTACCGGAATTAATTCCTAATATGCAAAATATTTGAATTTCATATTACACTAACATTTCACAGTGTTAATCTTTCCTAGTATTATTAAGCTTTTAGTATTTTGGGTAGGAACTACAATTATTTTTATTTGCTTTCAGTTACAATATGTGCTTAATACTTTTCTTTTAGAAAATGATAAGTATGGGATACAGGAAGACAAAGAAAGATTAAAAATTCTTATAAAAGAAGTATTACAAGATCTGAAACCTAAGTATGGTTCTGATTCATTACCTGAATTAAAAGAAGTTACTGTATTCAACAAGGTAAACAGTTTTACTCTTGTTAATCTTTAAAAAGAACCTATAGTGGCATAATGTAACTATTAAAAATTATAAATAAACAAAATATTATAGCAATAGTAATGATATTTATATAAAGCGTGATAAAAGTAACCAGACGTATCACTTAAATCAGCACAGTGCTGGTTAAATAGTAATTGTAGGACTGTTTTGGTTCCAAATATGTATTAAAATTGCAGTGATTAAGAAGACACAAGTTTGATGTAAAGGAATAATTAGAATCAGTAAGTATATAAATATGGAAGTTTACAAAGGTTAAAGGTTATTATTTTAAACTCATTTTTCCCAAACTATACCTTTGTAAATGATAGTCATATTATCTTGAAAAGTAATTTTCAATTAATTCGTAACGTTTTAAAAGGATTTTTTTATTTTTCACACAATTTTTTCATGCCATCTTTTATATTTTATTTATTTATTTTTGTTTTATTACTATTTATTTATTTTTCAAGGCCAGATTTAGAAGATAGTTCATATCATAAGGGCTCGGGGAGGAATGCTTTATTTTCTTATCCGAGATCTAAATAGCTCCTAAATTGTAGTCAGTCCCATATTTACCCACTCAGTTTTGAAGAACAGAAGAAAAATGCAGTTTATTTTTTTAAATGAAGTACTCAAAATTAAATCATAATAATAAAAAAATAGTAAAAATTTAGTTGACAAAATGAACAGCAAGTTCATTTTTTATAAAAATTACTCTTTTAGTATAGAAGGTTAAAAGGGAGGAAAATATACATATAAATTTCAGAAATTTTTAACTAATAAACTAGTACATTACAATGTAGATTTTTGTCACATGTATGAAAGGTAAGAAAAATGCTTTGACTTTAAATGCAGAAAATTTGGGCATTTTATATATAATTCATATTATAGCCTCTTCCCACATATTTCAGCAATTTTTTTTTAAAAATAATTTTTAATTATTTAGCAAAAAATGAACAATTATTAATAGTAAATGCAGTGGGCCAAAAGGTTTTTTTTTTTTTTTCCCTAAAATTTTTTTTATATGATAAAAGTTGATCAATTTTCAACAGATTTAAAAGTATCTCAATTTTGGATTGGACATGGTAATTTTAAGAGCTATTTAAAGCAAGCTTGCTTCAAGCACTTTATTCAGCTATAGTAGCAGCTATGAAGATGTAAAGCATGTTCTTGAGTGCATTCATCATTTCTAGCAGAGGAAGATACTTCAAAGTGCTTATCTGTATCTTGGCTACCAATTTTTTACTGAACATTTTTCAGAATAAAGAGACAAAAACTACTTTTCAGAATTTCATTCTCTATTTAGATTATTGATTTCTCTTTATTTTATTATTATTATTTTATTTTAGTTAATTTTTATTTATGATTTTTTTAATAATTTTTCTCTATTGGCATCAGAGATGTTGTACATTTATTTATTGTTACGTTATTTTCTTCTTTCACTATGTTCATTACTTGTTCGTGTGGATTTGGAGTAAATAACGACGACACTTGATGAAGTATCGAAACACACTTTATTTACCAATATTAATCAGATAGCTCCAAAATTGCTTTTACTGTCGTCAAACTGTTATAAACATGCTGACACGTTCAGTGACACTATCAGGGTCAATGTTCCTTCTAACCTTCTTCGGGAACATACAAGGACCTGACTCGGAACAGAGAGCTTACTAAAGCTATGTTCACTAATTGTGGTAAGTAGACAGGATACAGACGAAGGGTATACAAAATATAATTTATCAAGAGGATTAAAACCTCTAGCCTGGAAGGCAAACAGCAACTGCGTAACTTCTAAGGTAAGCGGCCTGCGTTGACTCACTGCTTCCTCTCTCTCGCTTGGCAAAAGGCCACAACTTAAATACTTGGCATTCGCCAGACAAACTTTGCATAAAAACCTTAACGCTTATAATTCTGGCCGGAAGTAGAAAATAAGAAGTGATAGTTAAAGATTTAACATAAAATAAACATTAGTAAAACTTAAGATCCTTACATACTTCCCGCCAGAGTTAATTAGTTTGAAACTGAGGTCTAAAACGACCTTGTTGAAAACTTTTAGCTCTAGAATCTAACGCGAGGCCAATCTTTTACAAGCATAACTTCGCTAGAAACTAGAAATTTAAAAGAAAGAAATTTGTTACAATAGCAGCTCCCAGGATATACAACAATCTTTTTTCATCTGTACTGCATCTAAACAGGAGCTTTTATTCAATTCTGGTTCCTTCCAGAGATCTGGAAGGAAAACTAGTTTAATGAAATGTTACACAATGAAATGGCAAGTAACATATACAATTATACTTCTCTTAACGTTCTTATTTCATTCATGACTATTTTAATTATCTCTCCCCGTGCTCTCTGACATGTGTTGTAAAAGAACACCAAACACGAATGTGTTTCTGTCTACGTGTGCCACACTTCCTCCTACAATCAAAACACTAACGTGTTAAAATTCAACATAACAAGATCTCTTAACACACCCTAATTTCAACTCTAAACCCTGAGGTACTATTCTAAAAGTGGCTAACTCTAAAGTGTAGCGTCAGAGAGCCTAACTACATCATTCAACCTTTAACACATATTCGCCATGATTTAGTCTTTACAGTCACACGAATAACAAATTTTTAACATTACTTTCACTTTACCATATCACGGTATTTCTTAACATTTAAAATAACAGTTCACATGTATATAAGAACATATTCAACATGCCGTTAATTTTACACATTTGAAAACATACAATTAGTAGTACCTTGTTAACTTCTATTCTTTTCAAAGCAAGTGCCAATTCTTTCTACATTGAAATAATACTACATTTCAAAAAGTCTTTCAGACTAAAACTTCTTTCTTGCTAGAATGTTTTAAATAAAATTTATACAATAACTTTTTACAATATTTAAGGTTTTACACAACGCTATTATACATCAACTTTAGTTTTACGCGCGAGTAATTGAAAAACATAATACGAAAATCGGTCACAACTCATTTCTCGCCCTTTTGGCGATAAAGGTAGACCTCGCATGAGGTAAAACTTCTTGAAATTTGCCACTTGCAGTAAGAATGAAAGATTAACTTAAGTTTGCAAGTAACATAAAATTTTACTTATCTTTGTAATATTCGGACATCCTTTTCTGGGCCCAGTCTTTAAAGGTACTGCAGATAGTAGTTTTGATTTATCCTCCTTCTTGTACGGGCTCGCCCTTCAGTGCTTTCCTCTGGAAGCTTCCTTTTTTCACCAGTTCGGCCACCCTTGAATACCTCTTTTCTCCTCTGCTTGTGTCTTGGCCGTTTGATGGCAGCTGGTCTTGGCGGAACGGGAAACTCTCGTGTTCCTGCTTGGACCTCGTTGTTGGCCGTTCAAATTTTCCTTGTAACTTTTCCTCCGCCGCTGATGGCCCTTCCGCAGTTCGGCTACATTACTAGTGCTGTAGAAGTAACGAGAAATTGTGTACCCGTATGTATTCGTTACTCGGTGAACCAGTACTCGTTACTATCGTATCGTTACTCGTTACTTTCGGTAAAATCGATCGGTATCCGTATACCTGAGCCTATTTAATCGGTCTATCGGCCGCTAAAAAGGGCTTGAAACGTCGCATGCGGGAACTGAGTACACGTGAGCTATTCTAGAGAGTTTTGCCGTCGCCTTTTTTTGGGTAGAAATAATTTCACTTTATTTTGGCTATTATTTTTTGGTGCACTGGATATGATTCATTATTAAACTTTTCTATTGCTGTCAGGGCTTAGTTTCTAAAGTCAGAAGGGCCTACGGAAGGCCGTCAGGAAAACAGGGAAAAAATAAAATAAAAAATAAAGAAAGAAAGGAAATAAATATTACAATAATAACATTAATTAGTAACTAAAATAACAAAAAAAATTATTGAAAAACTTAATAATTAAAATAACCAAAAAATAGTGATTAAAATAATGAATAATTAAAGTAACATAATAATTAGCAACTGAAATATAAAATACTTTAAGTACAATTTAATAAAAATGTAAAAACAAATAAAAATTAAAATAATTTTTAAATTTATGATGACTAATTAAATAATAAAGTAAAATACCAGATCCTTGTCTTATTGGCTTAGTATCGTTTCGTCCTTTCTCATTTCATCCCCAGCTCGAAAAAGTGGTTATTTCGTTCGCTGCCTTCCCCCACCAATTCCCTCTTTCCCGTTTCATCCGCTGTTTGAAAAATAGGTGTTTACTTTACGATAAGGCGAACGTCTGTTTACTTCAATTAAAATGTTTTAGAAGAGATGACTGTTTCTACTTCGACTTAGCTTTTGATTTTTTAATATTTTAATATTTTATGCAGACAAAATTATGCTGAGCAGAATAATGAATTTCAGACGTGTTCAAAAGGTGTGTATCTGAATATAATAACATTTTTGTTATGTATAATATCCATTTTTTTTAAAATTTCACACATTTCTAAAGCAACAGAACCACGGTATCACTATTTTGGCACACACATCAAAAACATGTATAATTAAGATTAATGTTACATTCCTTTATTAAAAGTAATGGGTCCTCATTTAAATGCAACCATTCATGCTTTTAGAGGATTTTACATGTGGTGGTCTTAAAAAGATGATGTTCACTACCCAATGTTTGTTTATGTTCCCAAAAAATAGAGATCTCTTAAAAGTGACCTCTTAGAGATGTCGTAAATAGATGATTTGCTATAATTATTTTCCGATAGATAATGGAATTAATGTAATTTAATGTCAATAACTCGAGGAAGCAAGTTTAAATACGGTGCAACAAAAATACAGAAGTATTTTAAATGATGAAAATATTCATATTTTGTCAATGTCAAATTTAAAAAAGAATTAGTTTTGGGCAAATTATGAAATCTAACTTTTAATGTCGTCTTCTGGTTTCTATATTTATATTTGGAAAAGTTTTATACTCGTTATGAAAAAATAAAAATACAAGAAGTTTGAGTCCCGTAGGACAAAGATTGACCAGGAAATTTAGTTTCA